GGGGGGGGGGGGGGCAGGAAGAAACACTGAGTGTGGGACCCGGACAGACCAGAAGAAGGGAGCAGGCGGTAGGGAGAGGAAGTTACTCATTGGAAGAGAAGTGTCCCAACCCCCCTGGGCCCCCATGGCCCCCACGTCCAGGAGCACTGGGGCGGGAGGGCTGGATCAGGCATGTTTGAGTGGAAGGAGCCTGGGAGAGCCCTGTCTGAGCTGGGAAATTGAAATCGGAATGTTCAGGGAGGCTCTCAGAAGGCCAGGAGGCCACGGGGGCTTTGCTGTGGGGTGGGGGTGGAAGTGGGGGTCTCCATCCTCTCCCACCTACCTCCTGAAGTTCAAGCAGCTCAGAGCCACTCATTCTGCTCAGATACCCACAAGTGCTGGGGCCGTTAGGTTGTTGTTACCATTGTTAACATGCAGTGAGCACTTAGCAAATGAGAGGTTCCGGGCTGAACACTTGACGTGGGCCATGGCATGTACTTCCCAGAGCCGCTCAGTGAGGGAGCTGACCATGACTGCGCCCATCTGACAGGTGCAGAAACTGGTACTTCGGAGGCCAAGGCCCTGGGACAGGCCGCAGGGAGTGGCGGGGAGGCTCTGAGCCGGGCTCGCTGACCCCACAGTTTGCACACGTGACTGCTAGATGGATGTCTCAACGTTGCCTCCGGAATCACCCAGGGAAGCATCTTCTGACACCCAAGGCCATCTTTATGCCCGGTAAGTTTGAGACCTGAGCTATGCTTCTAACACCCGCCTTCTATGAGACACAAGCAATGGGCGGGGGAGGCGCTGGGCCTGATTAAGGGTTGGGAGACAACTGTTAGGTGAAAGAGTAGGGCCCTATAATTTATTAAGCATCTAGAGTGTGCTGGGTACTCTACGACTCTATGGATGCCCCATTTTAGAGACAGAATTTGGAGAACTAAAGGGGTCCATTACCCTCCCCAGGCTCTCACAACCAATCGGCGAGTGTGGTGTGTAGAATTCCAAGGTGGCCCCCAAGATTCCTGCCCCTGTCCTTCGTGTGGGTGTAAACTGTAAATATCATCGATAGTCACGCCCATGGTCAGGCTCTGGGATAGGCGACTTAAAGGATTATCCGGGTGAGCCTAACCACATCAGGTGGGCCCTTCAAATCTGAATCTAGAGGCCGGAGACAAGTCAGCAAGGTCTGAAGCATGACAGGAATTCAATGAGGGAAAAGCTCTCCACCGCTGGCTTTGAGATGGAGGGGGCCACGTGGCAAGGAATTCGGACAGTTTCTCAAAGCTGAGAGCAGCCTCCAGCTAACAGCCAGTAAAAACCTGGAGCCCTCCATCCTACAAGAAACGGAATCCCACCAACAATGTGAATGAGCTTGGAAGCAGGTTCTTCCCATCAGCTTCCAGATAAGAGCCCGGACAGCCTGCTGACACCTGAGTGTGAGACCTGCGCGGAGACCCAGCCACGTCTCACCTGGCCAACCATGAGCTAATAAATGGTGGTTGTGCTAATCTGTTAGGTGGCAATAGATACCTAATACAGTGACTAAATGAGAATTTGATCCCAGGTCTGTGTAACCCCAAAGTCCTTGCCTTTTCTACTGATCCATTTTGCCATCCCATTGCCTATGGGGTTTGGATAGGACTTGGGGTCCTGGAGAGTGGACCAAAGCATCAGAACCACAAAATGAGCATTCTTGTGAGAGATAAAATCACATCAAAGTGCTCCTCGCTCAACTAATTGACTGAGGATACCCCACCCCCAATTCATTAACTCGAATCCTATTATAATCCCCACTTTACAGATTAAGAAAACTGAGGCTCATGGAGATGATGTAACTTGACCAAGATCACACAGCTTATGACAGGATGAGCCCCTCCATACACCCCCACCCTCCCAATTCTGTGCTCTCTTCCCCACCCCACTCCTCCCCCAGTTCCTTCTCTTTTCCAAAATGAATGACAGTAAGAAGGTGGTCACCGTCCTGATTCACTTACCTGGCCTGAGAAGGCCCCTTCTTCTGGCAAATAGCCATTAGCCCAGTTGGCCTTGAACACTCTAAGCAGGATGCCTTTTCTACCCCCTCCCACTATGACCTTGGCCGCTCCCACAAAGGACACCCGGCCCTTCCAGCCCATGCCACGCCCACCATTGGTGTGAAGCAGCAAAGCAGTGGCATGCAGGGCACATGGCAAAGAAATGAGACACAACAGAGACACTGTGAAGGAGAGCTTGGTTTGGTTTGGTTTGTGCTGCTGTTTTATTATGCGAGGGAACCAAGAGAAGTGGGGGAAGGAGCATGAAATGGAGCAGGTGTGTTGACGTGAGGACACAGTCACAGGATCTTAATGAGAGGCAAAGCAGACGGTGCAAAGAGAAGCAATTCACTTTCCTTCCAGAAACTGAATGAGAATTCGAATGGGACCTGTGGCCGCCTGAACTCCTACTTCCTGGGAGCAGGCAGGTGAGGAGAGGGCTGTGTTCAGGGTCAGCATGCAGGGTGCGCACTCGCCCCTCCAGTCCCTTCTCACTCAGCCTTTCCTCACTGTCCCAAAAGCAAATGAGCAAAGTTGGTCCCATGAACAAAAATCCACATGGGTGAACACATCTTCTCATTTGTCACAGCCCAGCACAAGACCTTCTCGTTTTGAACAGATCTTTACTTCCACCAGGAAACGTGGGACCAAAGGACTGACCAGTCGCTACACTACTGCTAGTCAGCCCTCTCACAGGAGCTGCAGAGAGGACATGTCATCGACGCCCTCATCTCCTCCCCTCGAATTTACCCTAATGGTCCCTGGGGGGCTGAGAGCTACACAGCAAGACTCTGAGAGAGGGGAGAAGTAAGGTGGTTTGGGTACAGCTCAGGAAATGTCCTACATAATGAAGAATAACAAATCGCTGCATTGGACCACGCTGACAGGGATACGAAACACCAGCTTACTCTAAGGCCAGGAAGATGCTAGGGACGGTAGTGGTGATGATGATGATGATGATGACAACGGTGATGGGGAGGAGGATGGTGATGATGGTGAGGATGGTGGTGAGGATGGTGATGATGGTGGTGAGGATGGTGAGGATGGTGGTGATGGTGAGGATGGTGGTGATGGTGAGGATGGTGGTGATGGTGAGAATGATGGTGGTGAGGATGGTGGTGAGGATGGTGAGGATGGTGAGGATGGTGAGGATGGTGGTGATGGTGAGGATGGTGGTGATGGTGGTGATGGTGAGGATGGTGGTGATGGTGAGAATGATGGTGGTGAGGATGGTTGGAGGATGATCATAATGGTGCTGATGGTGATGGTGAGGATGGTGGTGGTGAGGATGGTTGGAGGATGATCATAATGGTGCTGATGGTGATGGTGAGGATGGTGCCACCGTCACAACTGTTGTGATGGTAATAGCAGCAGCTAGCATTTACTGAGCACTTATATGCTAGGCATTATCCCAAGTACTCTGCTTGTATTTGCTTGTCCCTAGTCCACCAACCCTCAGTAATTGTAAGAACAACGTCAACAGACACATCTTAGCAGGGCCTTTCCAGGCAGGCGTCCAGTGAGGTGCATCTACAGGGCCCCGCAACTAGTCCCTTGGCAGGACTCTAATGCCTTAGAAGCGAAGCCTAAACTGGAGAGGTGAGGATGGTACAAGGAGCTTCACTAAGCTCTTTGAAACACATGCGCCTGAAAGAGCTATGCCTGGGGCCGGGTACGGTTCTCACCATGAGAGCCCCCTCCAGTGAGGCGGGTGGTCACACAGCAGCTGAGGCAGGTGGCCTTTCCCCCCGCTGCCCACCTGCCCCTTGGCTGCTGGAGTGAGAGAACGGGCTCGCGTTGCCACGGTACTGGGAAGCCTGCCATGAAGGTCAGAAAACTGCAGGCTGACCCTGCCTACTCCTCTGCCCCCAGGTGGGGAATGAACTCTGGGCTCCCCCCCGCCTCTGCGTCCTCTCCCGGCGCATGCCCGCCGCCCCCGGCAGCGGCGGGTTCATTTAGGAGGCAGCTCCCTTTTGAGTTGGCTCCTACGGTCCAGCTTGCTCATGACCTGGGTGATGTCCACCGTGTTGGCTGCTTCTCGAGCCTTGGCTTCCTCCTCCAGCTGCCTCAGGACCACGGGGCTCGGGCTGGAGCGCAGGTGACGCCGCATAAACGGGAGGCTGGAGCTGGAAGGGGCACAGCGCTGGCGGTTAGCGGAAGGCCCGGGAGGAAGAAGGCTTCCTAGCGGTAAGCCACGCCTGCCCTGCCGAGGGAAGGCCTAGACGCCAACTTAGCTTGCTCTGGAAAAATTACATTTTATACGTTGTCTTACAGCTGAAAATCATGGGACGAACTCACACTCACCACCGTCCCTACAGTTACAGGCCGAGGTCCGCGGGGTAACAAAAGCACCCCACCCGCGTGGATTCCCGCACGCGGCGGCAGGGACAGCGTCGCGACTCCAAGGCCAAAGCCCCGCGCCCGCTGCGCCTGTGGCTAACGCCGAGCGGCCCCCAGGGCCCGGGCGCCCGCAGAGGACCCCGGCTGGTTTCTCGGGCCTGCGCCCACTCAGAGCGTCTGGAGAGAGCAGCTCGGGGCTACCCTTCCTTCCCCGCTGCTTCCTGGCGGCACTTGGGGAGCGATTACGGCCCTTTCTCGTGGCTTAACAGGAGCAGCTTTCAAACCCCCAGGGACACCGGACCCCCGTCCCCACCAGGCGAACCTAGCAGAAAAGCGCCACAGACCTCCTTTCTTTCCCTTTCATAACGGCACCATTATCCTCAAGAATGAAACCAAGTTGGGGTTTCTTTTTAAAGCTCCTTTGATAAAGGCTCCAGTCCCACCACCACTCTTTTGAATTGACTGGAGATGCTGAACAAGAGCCCAGCGTGGGCCGAGCCGACAGGCGGGGACGTTTGCTAACCACGCGGGGACAGGTCGGCGCTGGCCCCAGGAAAACCTCCAGGGTCTCGCGTCTTTGTCCAGGCTGCCATTTGGCTCCCGCTTGGAATCTTCAATCGCCACAGGTCAGAGATTTTCACCCCGTGTGCCATAAGAATTTTTAAAACATGCGACACCTGACTATTTAGTCAGGGGCCGTCACCTCTCTTCCCTTCGGTTGTCAACTAAAAAAATGACAGCAGCCAACACAGCAATAGCTGCTGAGTGTGAATGCCCCATCTTGAGCCATAAATATATGAGTCATATAATAGTTGCATCTCCTTGTCACATCGCATAATAAGGTTGAGTCTGATTGGTTAATTCCTGGTACCACAAATCCTTATATACAAGTAGAGGCACCTGATTTTTCAAAAAGTCACTTTGGAGCAAAAAGGGTAGGTGATTGCTTTTCTTTTTTTTTTTTTTTCTTTTTTTTGGTAAATCAATCAAAATTATACCTAATTTTTGTCAGATCAGCAAAAAATATATTTTTTGGTGTGCTGCAGAATTTTAGTAGTTTATATGTGTCACAAAATTAAAATTGCTGCCAGAAAGGTTTCTTTTTCTCCAAAAAAGAGTTTGAGCCGCCCCCTCCGAACATTTCGCACTTTGCGGCAGGGCTGTGCCAGAGGAGGTGGCCTACGTCTCCAATGAGAAAGGCGAGGGTGAAGGGACTGACAGACACTGAAAGGAGTCCCCAAGAATATTTAGAATGTCACGGCTGTTTTCCCTAACAGCTTACCATTTTTCTTGGGGGACTATCTGCTATTCTCTATAAGGTCTTAGGACATTGCAAGGATACAAGGATGTTGCTAAATTAATCCCCATACATCGATTTGGAGGTGGGGAAGGATAGCAATTAAAAAACCAATGAGTCGCAAAAACTAAAAATAATTTTTTTTTTAAATTAAAAACACACCAATGAGTTGTTTCCATTTGGGATCAGTGTAATTATGAATCTGATGAGACTCTTTCAAACCAGAGAATGGGGAACAAAACCCACTAGCAGTAATGACAGGAAATCTTGCCAGGGAGGTTTCAGGGCATCCTGAAGCCAATGAGGCAATTGTACCCTGAGAGATACTTCCCCGGCCCCAAAACATTCATCAAACAAATATCTCTCAACCAGGGCCCCTGGCCTGAAAGACACCCTCACTGCTCTGTAAACAAAACAGCAGGCAGCCAGCAATTACAGGCCATCCACTTGCCTCCTCTTGGTGGTTTCCTGAGGTTCGATAGCTTTGGCCAGCATTTCCTTATAGATTGGAGATTTCAAATAGCGAGCATAAGAGTCCTAGCGGGAAGGAGAGAAAAACAGTCACAAGCGGTCATTAGGAGAGGGGACGTGTCAAATGAAATGAGCGCACTTGCCGTTTTCAGGCCCTCGGCAATTAGAGGGCAAGGTTAAAGGAGAGCCTCTCCTTGTGAGAAAGGCTCAGCTGCTGGACTCGGGCGACGCGGTCTGAATCTGGCTGCACCTCTGGGGAGGCCCTGAGCAAATGCTAGGCTCCGGAGATGGAGCTCCGTTCCTACTTCGTGGCTTGTCTTCAGTACAGAGTTCCATGCTTGGGGGAGCATCTGCTCACTGTAAGCCCTTGGTAAACAACAGCCCTTAGAGCAACACCATCATGACCAATGTCATGACTGCAGAGTGGGAGGCCCACGGGAACCCACACAGCGCCTGCAGGAGGTCCTCCCCAGCCAGGAGCTTGGGGCTCAGGGAGCTCCCAGCCCAGGGGACCGATGAGAGAGACAGCTCACAGGTCAGCGTCCCAACACCAGCAAAGCAGCAGCCACAGGTCATCTCCCTCTTCCCCCATGTCTAAAGAACTCTCCGGGTACCGGGGGAGGGAAGGGCTCCCTGGCCCCCGCCTACCTTCTTCATGAGCATGTAAATGTGGGTTTGGGCCGCGTCCAGCACGTAGCGGTGGGGATGCCTCAGCCCCTTGACTGTGATGTCCATGGTTTTGCCATCGATGTTGATCCACCGCCTCGCCCCTGGGGCCAGGAACAGCCTGGGGCGTGGAGGGAATTGTTAGCAAAAGTAGCTAGACCCAAGCTGGTTCATAGAAAGTTCACAGCTGCTTGAGAGGGAGGGACTGACATGACTCAGGTGTCCCGGGTGGAAAGCGATCCCTTTTTAGGAGACATGAAGTGTTTGAACGGTCGCCAAGCAATACTACTTAGAAGCAAGAAGACAGCCAGCCGTGCTAGTAATGGTTACGTGGCTGTTTCACTCTGGTGTCCCTGACGTCTAGGAGGGCGCAAAAGTGGATGGAGTAACCCTCGCCATTCGGGCCAAGAGCCCAGCCTCCAACGTAATGCCTCTGCCTCCGTAGTCATCAGGACCTGGCCGAGCATCTCCCTCCAGGTGCTCCAGGGCCTTGGCTCTCCCGTGGCCCAGTCTCGACGTGTTTGGAGCTGGGCCTCAAATGCTGCCTTGGGAGGCAGCCCGGGATCCCAGCACCCAGGGGTTTGACGGCCTGCGCATCTTGCCAACGGCACCCATGAGAACCTGAGCTCAGCCACACCTCCTGAGTCCTGAGGCTCCACCTGGGATTTCGGGGCTCTCCAGTACTCCCCATTCTGACGTGTCGAAGGTAGGAAATACTCACGTGGGTGTTGTGGACCACCCCTAAGTTGCACAGGAAAATTTCGGAATTCAGACTAAGATTACATAAGGGGGGAGGGATCCCCAGGAGGAGGGAAGCTGATGTAAAGGGAGGGGCGGCAGGGCCCCCTGCAGCAGAATATTGGAATTAGGAGTGTGCGTGAGTCTCTTGGCTCTTGGGTAATTTGGAGGGAAATTTGGAGGAGAGGCAGGTCTGGAGAGGGACAAACTTATGGCTACACTGAGCAAGGAAGGGCTAGAGCCAGTAACGGCAAAATGACAACTGTGCCCACATTTGTACCCCAAGCTGGGCTCATAGTCCTGAACACTCAGGGAACCTCCCTTCCCCTCATGGGCCTCACTTCCCTAAGATGGCCTGAGGAGTAGGTTTTCCCACCGCACCTATTCTCTCCCCGACACACCCCTACGTCTCAGGAGACCTGAGGGGATTTAGCCAAAGCGCTATAATTCAGGGCAGCTTGCTTCTTTAGCTCCTAAGCACACCCCCAGGATCAGGGGGTCCTTCCACAGCAGCAGTGAGCTGTTTATAGCAGGGCAGGTGCAGCACTGAGCTGGCTGACACCAGGGGTGTGGTGGGAGGGGAGGGGAGGGGAGGCTCCCCGACAAGGTGGCTAATCCTCACTTGTAGATCTCCTCTGCTTTCTCCTTGACCTTGGACTGATCTCCATACTTCAGATCCTCACAGGCTTCCCAGAATCCCAGATTCTCTCCTGACAGGGAGGAGGGGTCCACGCAGACCAAAGCCAGGCAGGAAACGATGGGGGGGAGAAGAAAAGAGAATAAACGGGTCAGCCAGGACAGATTTGGTCCCTCGTGGTGAGCACCTTCCTTCTGCACAACAGGCCCTGGCACACGTGGGGCTGGACAGACAGTGAGCAGCCACGCTGACTCCCAGGGCCCAGGGGAGCGCTGTCAGCCTAGTGACTGCTTGACACGTGTTCTCTGAAGTGACCTAGATCTGCACCACCACGTTCCTGGCTGTACGTGTCTATTGGGATCACTGCTCTTTCCCCAAGGATGCAGCTCAGCTCACATCAGTCCCCAGAGGCCGGCATGTTCTCTTTTGTCCTGGAAGTCAGCGGAAGCAAATATGCTAGAGCAAGTTCGCATAGGATTGGGCTGTAAACATGCGTTGCCATGCGACAGGTTTTCCTCATGACAGGCCCCGTTTGCTTTGCTCATATACAGGGACTGGGAGTGACATCTGCCTCCCTTGTGCACAGGGTCAATTCAGGTCAAAGGTCCGAACAGAGAGGCTGCTCCAGTGGCAATGCTGATAGACTGACTCTCAGGGAAGGCCTGGCCACCAGGGGCACCAACGGAGGGTCAGTCACCTGAGCCAGAGAGACTCGGGTCCTCTGGGCACAGAAGAAAAGCCAGACTCCAACCCATCATCTCCTTCCAAATGGTCCTCTAACCAGTTCTCCCCAGCACCCAGAATAGTGTGAATACCGTTGTACAGTCAGCCCAGGCGGCAATTTTTGCCTAGAAAAATAAAGGTGATCATACCAATGGAACCAGCAAGAACCTGTGTGCATGTGTGTGCATGTGTGCAATGTGTGTATATGTGTGAATCACAGAATGCCTCTGTGTGGGGAAATGGACAAGGGAAGGCTCTTCCTCTCCTTTCACAGTATTTTTTGGAAAGCCCCCAGGTGTTTCAGATCCAAAAAGGCAGCACAATTCTAAGCTGGTTGGCGTCTGTCCCAGAACTCTACAGAGGCCCATCCTCTTGAGCCCAAACTTCAGGTTGCTCTTGAGATCAGAGGCATGAGCGAGCAGGGATGTGCAACCCAGCTGACATCATGCACAAGGTAGGCCACCCTGGCCACGGCAAGAGGAGGTTCACAGCTCAAGGTTAAAATTAAATGAGCGATTCTTCACACACCAGCCAAAAGGTGGAAACAAACCCAATGCCCATCAATGGAGGGATGGATACACAACATGTGGCACATACGGGCAATGGAATATTATCCAGCCTTTAAAAAGGAACAAAGTTCTGACACAAAGTATAGCTCGGATGAACCATGAAGACATTATGCTAAATGAAATAAGCTAAACACAAAAGGACAGCTATCGTATGATTCCACTTCTATGAGGCACCTAGAAGTATGGATTGATAGAGACAGAAGGTAGAGTGGTGGTTGCCAGGAGCTGGAGGGAGGGGAGGTGGGGAGTTAGTGCGTAATGGGGACAGAGTTTCACTTGGGGGTGAAAAAAGGCTCTGGAAATAGATGCTGGGGATGTTTGCACAACAGCGTGACTGTGCTTAATGCCACAGAACTGTGCACTCAAAATGGTTAAAATGGTAAAGTGTGTGTTATGAAAACTCTATCACCACAACAAAAAATTTCAATAAGCATCCAAAAATGTGTACATGAATTTCAGAGCAGCATTATTCATAATAACCAAAAAGTTGAAGCAACCCAAATGTCCACCAACTGCTGAATGGATAAACAGAATGTGGTATATCCACAAACGAAATAGTATGCAGTCATGAAAAGGAACAGGGTGTTGATAGGTGCTACAGCAGGGACAAGCCTTGAAAACACTATGCTAAGTGAAAGAAGACAAAAGGACACACGTTTAATGATTCTATTGACATTAAATGTCCAAAATAGGCAAATCCATGAAAATGGAAAATAGATTAGTGGTTGCCTAGGGCTGGGGGGTAGGGAGGAAGTGGGGGGGCAGAGGAAGAAAGAAGAGGAAATGACTTCTAATGGGGTTCCTCTTTGAGGTGGTGAGAGTGTTCTAGAATTATATAGTGGTAACGGTTGTACAACTTTGTGAAAAAACTAAAACCACTGAATTGTACCCTTTAAAAAGATTATGGCATGTGAACTACATGGTACATGCATTTATGGTATGTGAATTATATCTCAATTTCAAGGTGTTCTTAATTAAATTAGCAAATCGACGATTCACCTTCCCTGTTCATACCTGAAGCCTGAGGAGTGTCATAAGGAGATCACCAACGGTACTATCTTGATAATTCAGGGAAATCTTGTCCACGGATCTTGTTGCTAAGTAATGCGTGGCTGGGATAAACTCGGGGTGTGGTTTGTGGCTTTGCCACTAGATGGCACCCTATCCACTCACTCGGTAGCTGCTTCTGTCCCGAGCAAAAAGCCCTCCCCTTCCCAGCCATCTCTAGTGGGTTTTATGCTATCATGGCAGGTAGGCCTGATTCAATAGAAGGATTTTCAAGAATCTATATTGTAATGTGATATAAAGGTTAATGGCACGTCCCTCGGGTTAGTTTCAGGGACAAAGCTGCAGGCAGGCGTGTCTTGGAGAATATGCAGCTGAGTGCCGAGGCTCAACTGGGACGCTGCCCAGAGCTGGGGACTTTGTCAGGAAGTAAATGAACCCCGTAGAAGTAAGTGCTTCAGCCCTAGCTGGTTGGCTTATTGGTTAGGGTGCCACCCTGCAGACTGCAAGGGTCCTGGGTTTGATTCCAGCCAAGGGCACACACCTGCCAATGTCTCTTTCTCTCCCCCCCTCTCTCTGAAAAGCAATGGAAAAAATATCCTTGAGTGAAAGTTTTTTAAAAAAATTTTTAAGTAAATATTTCAATACAAGTGTGGAAGCCAATGGAATGCTCAGCCTAATGAAATTGGTCCTGATCTGGCCTTTGTTTTCACAGCTGTTTCTCAGTGCTGTGTATTTAAGATGCTGCAAGTGTCTACCGTGATGAGAAATCCAGAGATGGGGTCTATCGAAAATGTGGCCCCACCCATTCCACTAAAGTCCACACCTCCGAAGCCCCTGAGGGAAGCAGACCCGGACAGGGCTTCTCAATTATGGCCACATATTGGAATCACCTGGGGAGATTTCAGACCTCGGGAGATCCCACCCCAAATAAATTAAAGAGGAACCTCTGGGGGTGGGACCCAGGCAAGCTTGTTTTTAAAACGATCCCCAGGTGACTTGAATGTGTATCCCGGGTAGAGAAGCTCTGAGCTGAAGAGCACCAGGCTGTGAAACAAAAGGAGAAAGCTTGCTTCCCACCTCCCTTCTCGCCCGGTTTCCCTGAGGAGGTGCCCGGGGCGCCAGGGGCCACAGGAGCTCTCGGCTAGTGACCTGAGGATCAAGGTAAGGAAGTGGGGGTGACCAGAGGGGATGGGGTGCTGGGAAACGTGAATCCCATTCATGTGAGCCAATGAAATCCCCCCCAACTGTGAGGCCCCTTGGGAACCCTATGCCAAACATGACAGGAACGCTTCTAAAAGTTAAATGTTTTTTTTAAAAATCCGAGACCCACCACTGAATTCTTTCTTGAGAAAGTACTGGAAGCTCTGTCGCCCCTTGGGATCTCGAATCAATTCGCTGAAGTTGATGGCCCACCGTTCCACGCGCATCTTGGTTGGGATTTCCACCCTGCAGGGAGGACACTTCATAAATGCACCAGACACTGAATGGGAGGGAGGAGGGGCTGTGCCAGGCGGTGGCCTGGACTGGGGTGAGGAGCCCCAGCTCCCTCCATTAGCCCCACAGCCCCGAGCTCCACCCAGCCCTCCCCCACCCTCATTTCTGACAGATGTACAGTCCAAGCAGTCACTTGTTAGGAAAATGCACCCTCAGACAGGCCCCTGGGCCTCATAGCAGGAGCTGGCCGCCCCGGTGGTGAGGACAGCCACAGCCGAGAGCCTTCGGGGCAAAGGCACAGGGGATGGGGGAGGTGATAGCTAAGGGGTATGAGAACATAGTTTAAAAAAAAAGCATTGAATCGTACACTTTAAATGGGTAAATTGTATGGCATGAGAAAAACTCAGAAAGCTATGTTTAAAAAACCGACACATCGAATACATACAATTTGGCATTTAAATCCCAGAACTGGGTGTCATCTGTTATCCAAGGGTTGCTAGGAAGGCAGCCTGACATGAGGGCATCATTGGATGAAAACTGCTCACTGTACTTGACGATCCTGAAAAGCAAATGGAAGACAATTTCCTAGAAATTCAACGCCCGAGAGACCAAGTCAATAACTCGGGTCGATTGACCAGCCTGCCCTCCCTCCCTTACCGATACAGTTACCTACTTATTACTGTCTTCTTAGGGAAAATGCTCTAATAGCACCCAGGTTAGCAGGTATTTGTGACAAAAATCTGTTCCCCATTCTATTTATGAAATGAAATGTCGTCTCCCAACCCGGTCCCTTTTTAATTTCTCTGTACTTGTTTAATAAAAAATGCAGGCTCCTGACATTGTATCATGACACTAAACCCTTTTGTGTCTCTCAGGGAATGTCCTATGGGGACTGGGTCAGGGCAACCTGAACGTTCAAGAAACCAAACATAAATTTCCAGTGTATCCTGATTGGATGTTAAGTCAAAGATTAATAATGGACACTTAATAGTACATTGAATCAGTGAACACAGCCCATATTTCCCTAGTTAATTCAAATGGACAGTGTTAGGAACACAGGGGACCATGGATCCCCGTAGGGTCCACTCCTTGAGCTCTCCCCACCTTCCCATCCACGTAGTGGTGGATTCCAAGACAGATGACAGACTTGTACAGAGCCTGCCCAACCCCTGATTTCGCCCAACCCAAGATGAGACCTGGAGACTTGCTCTGAGTGGACAACTAGTAACAACCCCCAAGAGACCTCTTTTGTCCCTCAGTGTTCATTAGGATCTTACGTCAGTCAATGACTTCTCAAGTCTGCCTTAGAGCAAAAGTCTTCTTGCCTATCTGCTGTTCAAACCTCAGCAAGACCAACAAATTCGGAACATACCCTCCAAGGGACACCGAAGACTTCACCGTGGACCTCATTAAGGCCTGTTGGTAATACATGATCTGGAAGAGATGCAGTCGGTCATTAGAAGATGTCTTACTGTCCTACCCCTGAGTGTCACTCACATTGATATTCACAGGTAACCTCCAGAACTAGACACTGTGTACCCATGACAGCACCCCATCCCATCCCCTCAAGCCAGACACCTCAGTACCAACAGGGTTCAGGCCCACAGTAGATGGGTGACATCAAACTTCAAATTAGGGGCCTCCTTCACCCATCGTGTGTTGGTCTGGGAAAAGGCACCAAGTAAAAAATTTAAAAAGTTCTAAGGAGCNCCTCAGTACCAACAGGGTTCAGGCCCACAGTAGATGGGTGACATCAAACTTCAAATTAGGGGCCTCCTTCACCCATCGTGTGTTGGTCTGGGAAAAGGCACCAAGTAAAAAAAAAGTTCTAAGGAGACTTAAACCAAGATATGGGGAAGATGATTAGCCAAGAAGACCTAACCTCAATGGCCAATAATTACCAGGGCTCTGCCTGGGGCCCTGGAAACAAGAGCTACCAAAATAGGCCATGGGCCACCCTCGGCAGATTCCGAACAACCTGTAATTGTAGGAACAGGGGCCGGCAGGGTGGGGATGCGGACTCTACAGCATTGGCTCCTACGTCCCTCAGATCCGGGCCTTCTGAGCGTGTCTCAGCGCCCAAGTCTCAGCATTGGCCCCATTCAGATCTCAAAAGATGCTTCTCCAGTCTGTGCTGCCCATTAATTTGTAAACAATCCTCCAAACTTTACACATGGCTTTCATTTCATTACCGAGCGCAGAGCATAAAGCCAGAAAGTGTATAATTTGTTGGAGGGTTTAAAACCAAGCTTCCCTGGAACTGGGAGATGAATTACCTCTTTCTTGACAGCAGTGATTGTTTGTTTCTGCAAAACAAAGAAGCCAAAGCCATTAAAGAGACGTTATTAACTCATTACAGTTCAAACGCATTCCCCATGGGAAAGCTGTCCATCTTCTCTTGCTTAGAAGATAGAAGTTCCCCATCACCACCACCTCCAGCCTATTCCACACAACGATTGGAGAATTAGATTAACCAAGAGACCTGGCAAAGGGAGGGGTAGGATTTACCACTCTAACGTTACCCTGTCCTCCTAAAAGCCAAGACAAATTAAAGACTACGTTTGGGATGGGTCCCCATCGACCGTCGTATCTACAGAAGAACCTGATGGGGGACGAGCGATGGAGATGGGGAACCCGCGTGGAGCTTGAGTGTTTCTTTCCCACGGGAGAGAGAGCTGACATCGGGCCCCACACTCTCAGCGATGCCGGGGATCAGCCGCAGGGCCGCCTCTCTCTGGATTTTTTTAGTGATGGCAGAGAAAGGATGGCTCCAAAAGGGACTCTGTGTTTGGGTTCTTAGAAGCTCCTGGAAACCATTCAGAACTGTCTCCTAACTGAAACAGTCTACAATCCGACACGCTTCCTTGGCACCACTCGCCTGCTCTACGCAACTCTTGGAGGTCAGGGGACTCCAGTCTCAGTTCTCTTCGGTTGGGTTGCGCCCAGGGGGTGCTTGGCGCCGACTCCACTTCAAGTTGGTCACCTTAATCCCTGGCTGCTAATATCCACACTGCTCAACACAACCAGGTCTTCACTTGGAGTAGAGTCCAAAGGCCAAGGAGGACACTATTTTCCTGAGTAGTTAGCAAAATAACTACTGGGTCCATGAGCCCACTGACAAGGTGTCACGGGCCAGGAGGGGCCAATCTAGAATGTCACATACTCGCCTCTCCCTTCTAACCCGTGCTGGGTTTTAGTTTGCTTCATTAGATTGCTTTTATGTAACTGCTTTTCACAGGAAACCCTTTTCCTGGGTGGGGAAGTGGGGAGAGTTATCTCAGAAAGGTAAATCTCAGTTAGGTCTCTTGTTTTGGACTCACACACCCCTGACTTCCTCTTCATAGCATTTATCACAATCATAATTATATATTTCTTTGTGTGCCTCTGTTTAATATAATCTCATCCACGAGGCACCATGTCTACCTTCCCTAGAGTCATATCTGGTGCTCAATTAATATTAACTATATGATGATTGTCATGGGCTCAGAGGCCTAAAACAATGGAGATGTATTCTAAGCTTAATAGAATATTTCTCCACTTAAAAAGTTGAAGACACTACCCAAATGATCCAGATGTTTTGGCAAGCACACGGATTCTTTGTTCCCATTCTGTCTCAACATAAGGCACCGTTTTAGGCAACACACATTTCAGGACCATGGGGCCCCAGTAGATTTGCATGCAAACCTAATATAGTCAGATTCTTCTGTTAGAATCTGCCAAAATGGATTAAAAATAGTGTCCCCTCTGCTCAAAGGGGAAGCTGGACTGTTGCATAACAATAGTCACTTAGCAATTAGTGCAAAGCAATTTGCACCCCTTGGAGCCCTTACACCTGTGTAAGGGAGAGAGGTTTTACTACCATTTGCAGCTTTGGAACTGTAATAGGTTATGGGCAACTTTTCCAACATCTCCTGGTCAGTAATTGGCTGAGCTAAGATTCGAAGCCCAGCCTGCCCTTTGCAAAGCTGAGGAGAGATCCATGAGAAACAAAAAACAGCCTGCTCTTGTCACCAGTTTCCTCCTTGCCCTCAAGCTGAGAGCATGCAAAACAGAATGACTCTATCCAGCCATTTCAAGTAAAATTAAAACAAAAAGAGAGCTGGGGCCCCTACGCCGAGATGAAACACAAACACAGGAAACACTCTTTAATTAACACTAGTGGTGGTGAAACAAACTCCCAGCGTCAAGATAAATAAAATCTCGGGACCTAATGCATACAGCATGGTGACTGTAATTAGCAATAGTGCATTATAGACTTGAAAGCTGTTGAGAGAATAGATCTTAAATGTTATCAACATGCGCACACAAAATCATAATTATGCGGAGGGACAGAGGTGCTCACTAACCTTACTGTGGCACTTATTTTGCGATATATACATGTATCTAATCATCACATTGTACACCTTAAACTTCCATATGTCACACGTCAGTAATAGCCCTACAGAGCTGGGAGTGGGGGAGACAGCAATGATGGTAAAGATCGTGATTGTGCTAGGCCTGTGCTCAGCAGCCAACATCCTAAATACCCTCCTGCAAGGTGCCTGGGACCCAAGAGCAAGCTTCCTGTGAGCCACTGTTCTGAGGCCACGGGGCTCCTGAGTGGCCGATCACCAGTGAAATGAGCCAGGTTCTCAGTCTGCCCTGATGTCCTCAAGGCTCCGCGGGGAGCCGTCTTGCAAAGTCATTGCTACTCTACCTAGTGTGGCCTAACTTTGGCCTCAAATATTTGTTTCTGGGGCCATTATCTCAGTCTTCGGGGTTTCAAAATGTTTCATATTTTAATGCACTTCACTGGCTTTTATTAAACCCTTTGAGGGCCCTGTATCGGCGGTGTGGTTTGCTGTTGGGTTTCGGATTCCCGGAACTACCAGCTACCTTCTGGGAATCATCCTGCAGCGAGCTCTCTAATAATAGGATTCTGCCGCGTCTGAGGTTTCCCCACCTCCACCTTGGGGAGTCCATGTGGACTTTAGCATTTATTTCTAGCTTTAAAAATAGTTGTCCATAGGATCAGCTCCCTCTAGATTGACACGTAGGGCATCTCTGTCCTGCTAGGGGTGTTCACTTGCATCGGGGCAGTTGGGGCAAGGGTTCTAGGCTTCTCTAAAAGATCAAGAGAAAATCTGACAGGAAGGTGGGGTGGAAGAAAGACTGCATTTGGGGATCAGACAGAGGTCAAGGTCAAAATCCTGGTTCTGTCCCTTATTGGCTACTTGACTCTGGGTGAGTTATTTTTAGCAAGTCAAAGCTTCTGTTTTCTCATTTGTAAAAGGAGACAGAAAAACAAAGGATTGGGTGAGACAACAGACAGGTGACTGGTATAATGCAGAGACTCAACGGACAGTCGCCAGTGACTTAGGGCTCATAAACTGCTGTGAGATTATGCATGACATGGTTTTGACCTCACTTACAAAGTAAAATATAGGATGCCCATGCAATATTTGGGACATACTTATACTTAAAAAGTTATTTGTTGTTTATCTGCAATTCAAACATAACTGGGCATCCTGTATTTTTATTTGCCAAATCTCATAAACCTAGCAAAATTATTACTTAGCCAAAGGCCATACAAAACATTTATTTAAAATAAAGTGAAGTTATTAAAAAATACACACACACTTCTCAGCAATTCAAAATAAACCACCTCCTGATAAAATAAGAAATAACATTTTTTTCCACCCTGGAATTCACGCACAAATCCCCTGCTTTCTCAACAGTTGGCCCTCCTGGACTGAGGTTGCTTCTATCTTTCTCATCTGGTGACACACTTTGCACAGTGAGATACTCTGTCCAAGGAATCTTCAAATGCTCTGCATTCTTGGAATTCTGACTTATTATTTTTCAGTTGCAGATTTGCCCAAATAGGGCCAGAGCTCGAGCTTATTTACACAGCTCTGTGGCCGAGTTGTTGGCCTTCAGAGCCGGATGCAGGCTGCAGACAATAATCCCAGGGCAGCAGGGGTCAGGGCCCTGACCTGAGAGGCCCCTGAACCACTGTGGACCAAAGTGTGGGAGCCCAGAACAGGGACAAGCAGGGACCCAGTGATCAGACAGCCAGACAGGGATCTGCAAAAACAAGAGGTGAACGGCAGGCAAGCATGGAGCACAATATGAGACGGCGAGAAGCCTGAGGAATCGGGGTACACAAGCATTGAGAGCAGAGAGAGAATCAAAAGTGAGAAACTGGGAAACTCAGAACACAAAGCAGAAGAGAGGAGATGGGAGGCAGGCAGCCAGCTGTGCAAGAACACACGAGTTCAAGGTCGTGATCCTCTGAAGGATCTGTCCTGCCATGCGGAGGCAGGACAGATGCCACAACCTGCAGGGCACGGTGCAAAAGAAAAATGTAGGGCCCCCGTCTGGCCAGCATGGCTCAGCGGTGGAGCATCGACCTAGGATCCAGGAGATCACAGTTCCATTCCCGGTCAGGGCACATGCCCGGGTTGTGGGTTTGATCCCCAGTAGGGGGCGTGCAGGAGGCAGCCGATCAATGACTCTCTCATCATTGATGTTTCTCTCTCTCTCTCCCTTCCTCTCTCTGAAATCAATAAAGACATATTAAAAAAAAAAAATACAGGGCTGGCTGACGGGACAGGTGGGAAGGCCCTGCCACCTGAGTGAGAATTACGGTTCTTAATTCTTCTTAAATTCTCCACAACAGTCAGCATGCAGACAGGAGGAAGGGAGCTGGTGGAAGAGAGAGAGACAGAGAAGACGATGGTAAACAGAAGTAAAAGCAGCCCCGTGTCCAACATCAGCATGGGGACCACCGCCCCCTGCCCCGCGCTGACCGCCAGAAGGCACCCTCTCCTCCCAGCCTGGCGGTGGCGCTGTGCTGTCCACCTCTGCCCTCCCCTCCTCCATCGCAGAGGTTTCCAGAGCTGCCAGTTACCCATAAAAAATAAAAATATAGAAAGCAAATCTCCCAGCCAGGTTCAGTATTTGCCGTGATTCTGTTTCCATGGCAACCAAGCCGACAAGGCCTCGGCAATTTATCTGTCATCTGACATGGAAAAGGCCTTGGAAGGCTGACAGTGCCGCAAGTATATCAAAGGAAGGGTCACTCTGAGTTGTGGACAAGGGACTTAGCAATGCCTCCCCCCCAGGTGACACCCTCTGGGGACGTGAAGTCTCTCTCCAGATGGACTCCATCCCGAAACCTGGGCATCTGTCTCATGCACTGGTGGGGGCAGTCCCCAGGTCATTTTGAGTTCTGGGGCCCAGAAGGCTAAAGCATACATGTCACAGAGCTGCCTCGAGGCCACCTTTTTCCTGCTTCTTCCACTTTCCCCATTCACTTCCTTCTCCCTCCTTTCCCGGTACATCCGTCCTGGCTGCCATTCAGCCTTAAGGCATTGCCAGAGCTTAGAAAGGTCACTGACCCCCTTGCTGCCCAAAGATAACGTTAGACAGAAATCAATGAGACCACCTAAGACTAGTTGCAATGGAGTTTAGTTGGTTTACTGGGATCAGTGGTTCTCAACCAGGGCAGTTTTGTCCCCCCAGGGTACATGGGACAATGTCTGGAGACATCTTTGATTGTCAGGACTGGGAGGTGGGCAGGGAAAGGTACAATGTTACTGGCATCCAGTGGGTAGAGGCCAGGATGCTGCTAAACATCCTACAATGCACAGGAAAGCTCAAAACAATAGTGCCGTGGTTGAGAAGCCCTACCCAGAATGCTCACGGTTTCAGCAGCTCATGAACTGCATTTCTGTAAATAAGAAACCATCATGGGAAATTGGCCATCCATCATAAATGGTGGCTGTATTTAGGGAAAGGGTCCTTTTAAAATAAAAGTCTAAGAGAATCTTTGCAAAGGTCCTACTCTATTGAGATGCAAAAGAAAGTATGACATTCCAGGTTCTGTCATGATGATGAAGGTTTAAACCCAAGGTTGATTTTAAGACTAGGGCCCATAGGCTTCAGGGAGTGAGAGGACTGGCTAGAATTGTATGCAAAGTGTCTGTGAGTCTTTGGGCAGAATGTTTTCATAACTTTCATCAGATTTTCAAAGGGGGAAGTGACTCAGAAAAGTCTGGAAACCAACTACCTAGATTCCATTGGCTCTGACCTGCACTCTAAATCTCTTTCTTTATGCCATGGCCTCTCTGTCCCCAACACTGATATCACAGAGCCCACAGTCCTCCTCTCTTAGGCAGTCTCAAAGGGGAGATATCATTGCCCAAACAGACACAACTAGACAACAGACAAGTGGACATCTTCCCAGCCAGGAACCAGACCTAGGCTCTGCCCACCCAAAGTATGCAGCAGAGACCTACCTGGTTTACCTGGACTTCATTCGGATTGGTCACTCGGTCCAGGCCATAGTCCAGCACATTGTTCATTCCCGGCTGAATGGAATAAAAATAACATAAGAACCACTGCTGGAGAGTCTCCAGTTTCTAATTAACTTTGGGTCTCGGCCAGCCAAGCTGCCAGTTGTGAGACTGAGCTGCGAAAAGCTGGTGGCCTAGCCCACGGGGAGCTATGAGGGTGTTACGCCCTCTCGGTGAGCTGCTGAGCTTCGTAGGGCTGCTCCACCACCACAGCATCCCCATGACCTAACTCAGTGGCATGGGTAGATGTGTGCATGCACTGATGGATGGGCGGGTGGGTGGATGGGCAGGTAGGTGGGTGATGGGTGGGTGGATGGGTGGATGGATGGGTGGATGCTCTGATGGATAGATTGATGGATGGATCAGTAGGTGGGTAATGGGATGTATAAATAACACTCAATTCAGTAAGAGTTCACTGGGATTAACACATGGGACTCCTGACTCCTCCGTGGTGCTCCTTCCCCTCCCTACAGTGCAGTGCTTTGGAGAGTCCAGCCTTCAGCCAGGCGCCTCTGGGATCCAATCCTAGTCCTGCCACTTCCTCGCTTTGAGGAAGGTCTTGGAAATTACTTCTCTCTGCACAAGCTGTCCCTTCTGAGAAATGATGATCCTCCTACCTGTCAGGTTCTTGTGAGGATCTAACAAGATGGAGTGTGAAGCTCTCAACAGAGGGCAACTATTGCTAAGCAAGGGGCCTGGCTCACAGCTGGGTCTCAATCTCTGTCAGTTCCCTTCTCCATCAGGCCAGCTCCCCGGCCAGTCTCGCTTGGTCTCTCTCAATCCTTCGAGGCCAGCAGTTTGGGGCTTGCTCTTCCCTCTGTGCTGGTTTGGTCCCAGGCACCCACCAAGTTTCTCGTGTGATTAACCAGGCTGACTGCACTGGAGCTGAGGCAGGAAGCAGCTGAGGTTGTCTCAGCCTCATCAATAGGATCTGTCGCATTTTTAGCTCAGAAGTATGGTTGCCAAATAAAATATAGGCTGCCCAGTTCAGTCTGAATTTCAGATAAACAACAAATATTTTGATTATATCATTTTGCATAAAAATATATTCCGTATGTTTTTAGTATAAACACAGAGCAAGTAGCAAAATATTGGGACACGTATCATTTGCTGTTTAATCAAAAGTCAAGTTTAACTGGGCATCCTGTATTTTATTTGCTACATCTGGCAACTTAGCTCAACAGGCTACCATGGGGGGCAAATGTTGGGCACACAGCTTAGGCGAGAAAGAGAGAAAAAGAAATAGAAAGTGGGTGAGAGGACAAGGAAAGGGGAAGGCCGTTCTCGCCCTGGTTGTACATGTGGAGCTCAGTGAACAAATTTAGCTGCCGCTTCCTGTGGCTGACATTGTGCTCAGCCCTGGGGAGCCCGCGGGAAATGCAACAGAGACCCCTGCCTCCAGGCTTCCCCAGCAGGTCTCGCAGAGGAGGCAGCCACTCAGCAATTAATCACACACATGCTGAATTACAGTTGTGGCAAGTGCTCTGAAGGCACAATACAGAAGTCCAGGCCAGCCTTCCGTGGGCTTGAACCCCGCATGGGGGTGGGAGGGTGCGAGGGTGGTCATCAGAACCAGTGCCTTTACCTACAGTGGGTTCCAGGAATCGCCCCCTCCGTGTGGTATAAGAAACCCTCCAGCTTAACTGAAGAGAGGCTTCTCACACACACACACACATTCACTCTCACACGCCACCACATTTATACACTCGCACACACTCTCTCCCACCCAGACCCACTCACACACTCCCATGCACACACCCTCACCTTCCACAGCGCCAGTGCAGTCGTCTGGAGTCTCGAATTAGTTCTCTTACTCTTTCCCTTGAACTTGGCCCATGCTTTGATATAAGTTCAGCTGCCGAGTGCTCAGCGGTGCACCTGCATACCCACGCTCGGCACAGGGCTGCTCTCAGCCGCCCAGACCAGAAGCCTCTGCGCAGAGCTCGGCCACCCACGGGGCCTGCTGTGCTGCCGGCCTGCCCAGCGCCAGCTCCCTGGCTCTCCTGAGCTCTGCAGAAGGGCCAGGGACGCTCCTCTGGCTGCCCCTCTGCCCGCATGCTTTGTTTGCCCGGCTGGCTTTTCTCCCAGTGAACTGAGAGTCTGTTTGGGTCTCTGGGAGACAGTCTGGCAGCCCCTAAGCTCCGGGGCTTCCTGGGTTTGCTCAGCTTCTAGGCCGAGACAGACTTCAAACCGGACGCTCTTCAAACAGAGCGTGTTCCCAACTCCAGCGCTCTCGGGCCACCAAGAAGCTGTGAGCGTTTGAAGACAGTGGAGCCTCGAGGGCGGGACGTGGGCACGCTCCGGCCTCATCTTTGACGGTGGGTCCGGTTGCGACTTCGGGGAGCAGCAGTGAGAGGGAGATTGGATATGAAGGGTTTGGGGTCCGAGGGATTTTTTACAGCTGCTCCGAGTACATCAGAGCCTCATTCTGAACTTGGCTCCCCAGTGCTATCAAAGAGAGCCAGGCACCTTTGAACCCAGCAGCAGGTTTGTCAGAGCAGCAGTAACGGATTCAAGGCTCTAATGACCGAGGAGGTTACAGAAAGGTCTCAAATCTAAAACATCATGTGACACAGTCGTGGGGGGCAAGAGTATAGGGACTGCCCAGCCGTTGACCGAGGAACCAAGAGGTCACCAGTTTGATTCCCGGTCAGGGCACATGCCTGGGTTGTGGGCTTGATCCCCAGTAGGGGGCACGCAGGAGGCAGCCGATCAATGACACTCTCTCATCATTGATGTTTTGATCTCGCTCTTCCTCTCCCTTCCTCTTCTAAATATCAATAAAAACATATTTTTTAAAAAGAGTATAGGGACTAAGAGGGAATGGCCGTGCAGTCTGTGGGTTCAGAGCCTCTGGTACTTACAGCTGTGGGGCTTTGGCCACTTGGAACTACCCCTGAGCCTCAGCTTCCTTATCAGCAAAATGGGACTAAGAATAATGCCTCCCACACGGGACTGCAGAGATGAACGAAGGCAGTGACTGCAGACTGATGCTGAGGGCAGAGCCCGGCACACTGCAAGTCTCGGTCCAGGTCTGCAGTGATGATGATGATGATAGCGAAATGTCGATGGTGGTGATGGTGGCGATGGGGGCGGAGAAAGCGGGGCCACGTGGGAGGCGGTGGAGGTGTGGGAGGTGATGGTAAAAGCACTCATCACAGAGACATCAAATTTAGGCACTTCTGAGTCATACTGTGAAGAGCCACTCAGCCCTGTGCCTGGTGTGGGGGCTGCGTGCTTACCTCAGGAGAACTGGGGAAAACTCGGGTAATCTGCTTTTAATTTTGTTCCCCACAGACCTCCAGGGTTCAGGGACAGAGGGGAGAAGAGGGACCCAGGGCAGATCATGTACATGGCTCGTCTATGTCACTTTGCAAGGATGCAGTCACACTGGCATTCCCACACCATGGAGTCTCACATGAATATGGAAGGCACTCCCCGCCCTGCAGGGAACAGGGTCCTCTCGGTCATGGGGGCCACTGAGCTCCAGGGCATCTTGCCAAATGAGTGGCTTATCTGCCACATGCCCTTATCCTCACCAAGCTCCTCCCCCCCTTAGGAACAGATGTCTGAATGCAGGCTGAACAATGCTTGGTTCCCTCCCCACACAGGGAGCTCACTCCCGAGCTCCAGTGCAGAGGCGGGTGCTTGGCTCGGTTTCTCCAGGACCCTGGGCTCAGTCATCCACTCTACCACCAAACCTCCAGGCACTCGTGTTGGGCGTTGGTCAACTGGTTTACCCAGACGAGGCGCACTGAACCAAAGCAAAACCAAACAAACTTCTTGGAGATCAACCCCAGGACCTTAACCTCGGCAACAAGTCATCCAAACCAATGCCCCCAAGATGGGGCACCTATGGGATATTTGAGTAAAGAGAGAAAATAAGCCAAACGGCTGAAATCTGATAGGCCTGAAGTTTAAAACTCCAGGAACCCTGGCCCCCTGAGTAACCCAGTTTGCTTTCTGGTCCTAAGAATTTGGTTACCTAGCGAGCAGGAAACCACAGGAGCGCGAGGAAGAACCTGCGTCTCCACCTCTTCACGTTCCAGAATGCCCTTCACATCTCCCACCTCCCGCGATGCACAGGAAGCACGTGGGTCTGACACTGGGGTAAACTGAGGCAGCAGAGTTCACCCCAGTGGGTGGCCGTGACAGCCTGCCTCTTTGTGCTGGGGGATGAGGCCACCATTTCCCAGCGATGAGCTGAGACAAGTTACATCACTTAGGCACCGCTTGTCCCTCTGGCCCTTTGAAGTCCCAGCGCCAGAGACCCCACGTGCTCTAAGCTATGAGGCTCACACTTCTCTCGCCTCCTCCCGTCACAGCGGCTGGGGCTGGGTCCGGAGAGGGAAGGAGGGGGAGCCAGGGACACGAGGCAGGGCGTTGGCTACGCAGTGTCAGTTCTCAACAGCATTTTATGTTTATGCTTTGGAGCCTATGTTCTAGTTTTTTCTTCTTATATTTCTTTTCCAAGGTATCCTGCCCTCTCCCCCCTCCGCCCTGCCCCAAAAAAGGCCTAGCCCTCTTAAAAGACGAACTCGTTCAGACTTAATGAGGTTGGATGGCTTAAGGAATTTCACGTGGTTCTCCCACCACCGGCTGGGCCCGGAGCGAGCCCATCCAGGCGTGCGTTTCCTCTTGCAGGCAGGAAGCTCTGGACACTAACCCAGCCCTCAGCAGCGACTCAGTTCCAGCCCCAGAGGGACGTGAGCAGGCAACGGGGACAGAGAGGCGAGTAAGGGCGGGGGAGCGAGGCATCGGGCGGCGAGCAGGGCGGGGTGCGAGGCGGAGAAGGGGCAGGTGAAGCCAGGAGGGTACTCACAGGGCTTCGGTGGACCAGCCAGTACGCCTTCTCCTGGCAGTCCAGGGCGCACCGGTCTGCTTTGCTCCTCTCCTTCCCAGTCCTGCAAAGCCAAAAGCCATGGCTTTTGATTTGTTTGTTTTCCAGGTTATTAATAGTCAACCGTTTTCAATTCCAGTTTACATTCGACATTATTTTGCATTGGTTTCAGGTGTGCAGCATAGCAGTTAGATAACACATACTTTACAAAGTGTTCCCCCAATAGTTCCAGCACCCGCCTGGCACCGTCCACAGTTACTACGACATCATTGACTGCATTTCCTAGGCTGTGCTTTACATCCCCGGGACAGTTCTGTAACCGCCAATCTGTACTTATCAGTCCCTTCCCATTTTTCATCCCATCCCCCAACCCCCCCCCCTTGTAGCAACCACCAGCCTGTTCTCTGTGTCTATGAGCCTGTTTCTGTTTTGTTGGCTCCTTCATTTTGTTCTTTAGATTCCACATATAAGTGAAATTATACGGTATTTGTCTTTCTCTGTCTGATTTATTTCACTTAGGATAATACCCTCTAGGTCCACGCATGCTGTCGCAAATGGACAGGTTTCACCCTTTCAAAAGCCATGTTTAAGGCTCAGTGAAGGACCCCGTTCCTGATGAGCCACAGCACCCGCCCAGCCGGCCCAAGTAATCCACGTTTGCCGAAACGATCGTGAAACTAGCCAGTGCTCACGCCACCCTGTGTGCCGGGCACCCCGCTAAATGCTTTCACAGTCTAACTCCTCTCATCCTCCCGGCGACCTTTTCTCGCTTGGCGGTTCAGGGAACCGAAGCAAAGAGAGGTGCAATGTCCCGCCCGGGGCCACACCATCAGCAGTGGCAGCAATGGGACTCGAACTTGGACTCTGGTCCCAGACAGAGCCGGGCTCTGCCTGAGATGGAGGTGCTGGGGTGCATTCACGCCCATGAGTAGCCCTAGAATCCAATCAGCTCCACCACGGGGGCGAGTGTGGATGACACCCTGGGCTGACGTTTGACCACCTGCCTTCCTAACTTTCCCTGCTTCAGTAAGTGACAACTGGCATCTGGAGGAGCAGGCAGCCCGCGATAGGCAAACGCTCGCTCGGGGAGTGCTCGTTCCTCCCCACCTGGGCTCCACTCTGTCACTTCAAAGGGTTTGTGCCAAGTCAGGGTTTTTCTGAGCCCAACTTACTATTATAAAAGGCTTTTTATTGTCCCTCTTATCTCTCGGCCTCCCCCTTTCCCATTACAGAGAGGAAATGACATTGCTCCTGGCTCCTAGAGGAGCCGGGCCCCACTGGGCATCATTTCCACGGCGACCTGCGCACACTCGGCAACGCTTGCTCTCCTAGGCAACGTGGGTGACAGGTGACACACATGCCCTCCGCAAGGCCCAGTCGGCGGATTTATGGGCCAGCTAATGCCCTGTGACTAACACAACATCCAGAGACCCCGACGGGTGGAGGGGGCGGCTCCAGTGGGGTGTTGCGCCAACCTCCTCCGGAAATTAAATATAAACACCATCGCTCCCACTTGCCCTTGCCAACCTAACTCGATTTCCTACCAGGTTAACTACCCCGGGTCCCCGGGGGCCGGTAAAGTTTCCGTCATGCTGGGCAGCCTTGTAAATAGAGTCGGTCGCTAATTTGCTCCTATGGTCCTTTCTGGCTTCTCTCTGCTGCTCTTCTCTGACAGGAGTTATTGGAAGAGAGATGTAATAAATGGGATTCAAAGGAGTCAGTAAACAAGGAATTGTTTTAGTTTGTCACATTACAATTTTTTTGGCAACAGCATCCCACTGGTTTATTCATTCAGTGTATTTGGAGATGTATTTATAGATCTCCCACTACGCCCCAAGCACTGGGCGTGCACTGGTGAGCCAGACAGGCTGCTGCGGACTGAATGTCTGTGTCCCACCCCGGCTCCCCCCGGGTCTCCAGCCTGAAAACTTTCAGGTGGCACTTACACCACCCACTCTCCTGGGTTTCCTGCTTGCCGACTCCAGTGCTGGGCCTGCTCCTCCAGAGCTGTGTGAGCTAATTCCTAATAATAAATCCATTCGCATTTATATGTGATCGGCTCTCTTTTCTTAGAGAACCCTGACCAATTCACCCCTACTCCGGTTCCAAGGCCGCTTCATGAGAATGGGGTCTCCACCATCCAGCCCAACCCTGCACCAGCAAGCAAGGATCTGGACCTGTCAGGGTGAGTGAAGCTGGGCCAGCTCGGTTTATCCGTCTCGCTGACCACTGGCATCAGTCCCCAGGTATTCCTGACTCCTGCCACTCAGGACCACAGTAATATTGTACATCCCGCCCTGGACAGTGTCTCTCAGTGGTTAGAGTGTCGGCCCACACACCGAAGGGTTGCTTGTTTGATTCCTGGTCAAGGGCACATACCTGGGTTGCAGGTTTGATCCCAGGTCCCAGTCAGGGCACATGCAGGAGGCAACTAATCTATGTGTCTCTCTCACATTGATGTTTCTCTCTCTTCCTCTCTCCCTCCCACTCCCTTCCACTCTCTTTAAAAATCAATGAAAACAATATCCTCGGGTGAGAATTAACAAAACATATATATATATAATACATCCCCACCCATCTTCCTGTGGAGTTGGGTGTAATCATATGACCTGCTTTGGCTAATGAGTCATGAGCAGAAGTGACATGGACCACTTGTGATCCACACAGCCTCTCTCCCCCGCTGCTCTGGAAACAGACAAAGCCCAGATGGTGCTGCTCCTTTAGCACAGGTCCTGGAGTGGGCACAAAGAATGTCAGGGCCCCGGCCGACCCACAGTGGACATGTGACACAAGCAAGAAGTGAACACTGTGGTTTCACACTCCTGAGATGTGGGAGCTGCTTGTTACGATAGCCGAACCTCATACTGACTGATACACCCTCCCCAGCATTTACATCTGGCTCTCATGGACAAGACAGAGCCCTCCTGGAGGATGTCAACTCCATTTCTGACATGGACAGCAGGCAAATGAGAGCAGCAGTGGGTGGTGCTGATGTGTGAATCTGATTATATACCTCCGCTGCTTCAGATCTTTCTGTGGCTCCCCATGGCCCTTATTTCCCTCTTCATTGCTGCTCCATCCACCATCACCATCCTTCGCCTGGACGCCTCCTATGCATCCTCCAAGTTCAATGTCATTTCTACGGCTCCTTCTGCAAACTCCTGCCTGTGGCGCTCATCTCACTATCGCCTCATGATCATCTGCCTGACCCACTAGGCTGTGTCTTTATATTCCCTACACCTAACTCAGTGTCTGACACATAAATGCCCAATAAAGGTTTATTTTACTAAGAGGAAACAAGGGAGGGAGGGGGCAAGGACAGCCAGAGAACGAGCATGACCTTTCACTCACCTGTACTGCTCTTTGGCCTGCATAATAACAAAGTCCCACTTGTAGTTAATTTTTTTGTTCAAGAAATTGTAATTTTCCTAGGGAAGGAAAACAAAGTGAGAACATTGAGGCCCATGACATATGCCACATGCAGTGGGCAGAAGCCCTAAGTCAACAAGGGCATGCCCCTGGCTCTGTGGAAACTAGGCCCAGCCACAGGGCCTTCGCCCCAGTTTTGCATAGATGTTTATTCAAGGAGTATCACCAAATTCTCAAAAAGCCTTTTTTAAATACATGTACCCCAAATCTGATTAGGAAGAAGGGAACCGTGTGGGGAGGAACATGGAAACTCAATATTCAACAACAGAGCATCACAAATCCACAAAGATGAGACCTAATGCTGGTGTGATGCTGGCTTTTCTAAAAACATGTTTGTAAAACATAAAACACAGCAGAATTGTTGCCATCTGCCCAGAAATCTAGCCTTCTGAGTGTTAGGGTGTGTCCTCTGAGAAATCTGACTCATCTAGCCTAAAACAAAAGTCTATACTATTGTGTGCTCATCACAAACTCAAATTCAAATCTGTTCACCAAATAATATGCATTATCATACATATTAATTCATATTGTTTGGGGAGAGCAAGGGCTTAAATTACAGCAGGAGAAACTGAAGCTCAGCGTGGGGAAGAATTTATTTCAAGGAGCTGCTTCTAAATATATGGATGGATAATAGAGAGATGATGATGGATAGATGGGTGAATGGATGGACGGATGGCTAGATGGACAGATGGATGGGTGATAGATGGACAAATGGATAAATAATGGATGGATGGATGGATGGATGGATGGATGGATGGATGGATGAATGTATGGACGGATGGATGAATGTATGGATGATGGATGGATAAAGATGGATGGATGGATGGATGGATGGATGGATGGATGGATGATGGATGGATGGATAGAAGATGGATGGATGGATGGATGGATGGATGGATGGATGATGGACAGATGGATGGATAAATGGGTAATGGATGAATGGATAATGGGTTATAGATGATGGATGATGGATGGAGAGATGGACAGATGATGATACATATGAATGTAGCAATGGGAGGAACAGGGGAAAAACAGCTCGAGACTATATTCTATTCAATTATAATAAGCTTTACTTGAAAGTATCTCTGTACCTTTTCATGTTCCTCTAAAACCCCTTTCTTCTTGATATTTCGCTTGGTCAGATAGATGGCTAGAGAGGAAAACAATGACATTTTCCATCACCACATTTCAGAATCGCATCTGCAGCCTCTCTGTGCATGAGGCTGCTGTGCTCAGCCTGGTGGAGAGATCGCTCAGCAGACCGGCTCTCTTCCCTCAGGAACATTCCCAGTACCCATGTGTACCGCCATAAAGGTCATGATGACAGCAAGACAAATGCCACCAAAATGCAGCAAGTAAATAAGCAGCATGTTAAGCACTACCAAAGGCATGCGGGGAGGGCTGTTACCATAGTCTGTATCTTCAGCTGGCCACTGCTGGGTCGGCCAGAAATATGGCGTCTACAAAAGAAACCAAGAAACCTCACTTAAACAGCCGTCTGTGACCCAATAAGCCCCCTGCCCTGTGGCTTAAGAGATAAAACTTCCTTAGCCCCCTCCACTATTTCTAAAATCCTGATCTGTGAGGATATGAAGCCAAGTAACTATCTTTTTACATAAGACTAACCCCATATTAATATCCAAAGTCCAGGCCAAGACTCACCTGAAATCGGTAGAGGCTGCCATCGGGCTTGAGAATGAGATTCTTGGGGTCTTGCAGGGGGTAAATGTAACCGTACTTGACAATGAAGTTGCCCAAGTTCTGTGCCTCTGGGGAGAAGCAGTGGAATCATGGAAGTTCAGAGCAGGGACCAAAGGCAGAAGCTCGGTACCTGGCCCATGCACAGCACCCCAAACTCCAGAAGAGATGCCCCCAACCTAACAGAATTTCAACCAAGGAGTGAGGACACTGGTTCCTGAACTTGGCTGTGGACAAATACCAGTTGGGGAGCATGCTAATAGGAGGACTCCCCAGCCAGCCCCCTGGGAATGACAATTCAGTAGGTCTGGAAGGGAGCCAGTGAACCCAAATGCTAACAGGTAGTCCACTGCAGGTGTTTAGGGATGATAGCTGGGGAAATCCTGGAGAAGCTTCTTTGGACCCTTTAGGTCTGCAGAAGTCCCCAGAAGCAGGGAGAGAATATCTCTGACCACCAGATACTTCCTCACCCCATGAAAAAGGAGGCCACCATGTTTATTGTCAACTTCTCTCCCAAGCTCAACTCTGCCTGCATCCCAGGTCCAGACCCTCTGGCTTCTCCCACCTCCCTACCTCCCCACTCCAGTTTGCTTGGAAACATGGTCTTGTTACTCAATTTGCATCAATGGAAGGAAATGTATCTTTGTTCTTTCTTAGAGGCACCAGTGAAAGGAGGTGTCTGTCTTTCCATCATCGAGAGAGTCCTCCAGTCCTCTAGGCCCACCCTGCTCAAGGACCTAACCCACATGCTCAGCCTCCAAGCCTGGGGAAGACACTGTCCCAACCCTCCTTCTTCATGTCTCACTCCCTCCATCACATAGCCTCATTTCTTATGTCTTATACCAACAGCCTTTTTTTCTAGTGGGACGTCTGGTCCCCAGATTCTTTCTGCTCCATTCCACCCTTTAAAATGCTGCCAAACATCCCAGCTTAAATAGGACCATCACACATACTGCCATGCTGGAAACTCCCCCAGGGCTTCCTATTGCCTAACTCCCAGATAAAACGCGGAATCTGCAAATATGCACTCCCCGCCCCTCCACTGCCCTCCATGCCCAGAAAAACTAATTTCTCCTGATTTCCCCTCAGTACCTCTCCATTCCTTGTTCATCCCATTTCTCGCCATTGCTCTTGCTAGTTCCCCCTTCTGGGAAGGCAGACCCTCCGAGCTCCCCTCCACCATGCATAAGCATCACTTCTTTCAAGAGCAGGTATGTGTGCGCATCACCCCCTCCAAGAAGTCTGTCTTGACTGACTCCTCCCCAGTGACCCCTGTTATTTACATGCTCTCAATATTTTGCATGAGACCATTTTGTCTTCCAATTATCGTGCCTTCACTTTGGATTCGGGTTGTTTTACGCATGAAGGCCTTGTCTCTTCGATTGCAATGTCACTCTCCCGGGGACCCAGGCTAAGCCTCTCTCGAGCCTCTGCCCTCCGGGATTTTCACGGGCTGCACACACAGCCATCCTTGGTAACTGAGTGCCAGCCGAGCGCTCACCCAGATTGGAGATCCAGAGCCGCTGGGCGAGCCACTGCAGAACATCACTCCCTGCAAAGCAGAAGCATTGGCCATGGTCAGAGCCTCCTAACACACCCACTGACCTCCACACTGTCGCCCGACTGGCCTCCTCCCTGCTCAGCTGTGACCTCATCCCTCCTCTGCTCAAAACTTTCAGGGACCCCCGTTCCCCACCCCACCCCCACGATGCTCAGTCCAGACCCTGCAGCTTCTAATTCAGGGCCCCCTGTGATCTGACTCTGGCCAGGTTTCCAGCTTCACCTCCTCTACACACCCTCAGTCTGCATCTCTCTTGTGGCACTTACTTCCTTACCTTACAGTGATTTGTGCACAGACTCAAGTAGAAAGCAAACAGACTAAGTCTTAACACTGAAAAAACCCAGACCCAAGGCAAGCCGTCTGTGGGTTAAATCAGAGCCAGGCATGGGAAGAAAAATGGGGGTGGGCTGAGGGTGGGGGGCTGGTTCTCCTATGCCCCAAGTTCCCAGGGAAAACTCTGAGTGAGTCAGAGAATTCAAACCTGGCCTCCCAGGTCCTCGTGAAGGTACTTTTGTCAAAGCAGGAGGATGGGACAAATTTTAGTCACTGTTTGTGGGGTGATTTATAACTTTGGACCATGGAATGTGGGCTCCATTGTTACTCTTGCCCTGAGTCCTGCGAGTCTTAGGGGCCGGCCTGCAGCAATGCACAGTGAAGACTGGAATGGAAAAAGAACAGGAGAGGCAGAGAGAGACAAGGGCAAGAGAGACCGTGCACCCCTCCCACCCATCCCCAAAGGGTTGCGGGTTCGAGCCCCAGCCCCAGTCAGCGTGCAGGCAGGAGGCAACCAATCAAGGTGTCTCTCTCACATTGATGTTTCTCCCTCTCTCCTTTCTTTCTCTTTTCCTCCCTCCCTTCCACTCTCTCTAAAAATCAATGAAAAAACTATCCTCAGGTTAGGATTAACCAAAAAAAGCAAACTTCACCTAAAATCCTACTTCGAATCTGAGGACTGGCTGTTTTAGACTTTCCACCCCCAGTCTCATCGAGTGCTCCACAGACAGACGGCAGACTGATTAGCACTTTCCACCGAGCAGCCGAGGGCTTTCTCACACACTTGACTGTTTCCTGAAATAGCCCAAATGAGATTACGGGGCCACCAGCATCTGTACCACGTAGTCTGGGCAGGCTCCTACATCAGCCACCTTTGTCCCCAGAAGTCCTAGGTCACCTGCTGTCCAAGGGGATGGATGCCAATTACCCCATTTGCTTTTATTAGTGTTCATCTGCAACTACGAGGCAAGGCCTTCCCTGTGTCCCGTTTCAACAGCAGCTGGAATTCACCAGCAGGAGGTGGGCAGCCCCGCCCAGGAACCGAGCGCACCTCATGTGCAAGGAAGGGAAGCAGCTCCGCAGGGTGGCAGTGAGTAAGAGTATGGACGCTGAAGTCACATAACTGGGCTCCAGTCCAAGCTCAGCCATGCACAAGTTTAGTGAAATGGGGACAAGTTGCTGAACCTCTTTGCATCTCCAGGGCCCCATCTGCAAAAAGGGGAGGGTCATATCTTTCCCTAACCTTACTGTGGGTATTAACTGACACAATGTGGGAAACTGAGCTATCACCATCCCTCCAGCATCCGCTGTATGCTGACCACGTGCACAGTACTCTCTCATTTAATTCCCACACTCATCCTCTTAAACAGGGATCGCTATTCCTGCTTCTAAAATGAGAACATTGAGATTAGGGCTACATAGCTAGAAAAGGGCACCTGAAGGAGTCAACCCCAGGGAGCCTGACTCAACGTCTGGTGCTAGACCAGGACTGGTTCACCCATTCAATAAACTTCTATTAAATCTCTACCCTGACCCGCACCTATGCTAAGCTCTGGGGTTACCCAGATGAGCAAGAGGAGACTTCTCCCCTTGAGGGCTTCTGAATCTAGTGGGGAATTCAGGCCAGAATTCATCACAACCAGAGGTAGAGAGAGGGCAGGGGCAGGGATGCCTCCAGGAAGAATTGCCACAGCTGCATCTTAACTGCTGGGGGAGAGCAGAGGTACCCTGAAAAGTCTGCCCAGTGATCCCTGCTCTTCGGGTGCCCAGGCTACTCTGGTTCCTAGCCTTTCCCAAGTCTGGCTCATCAGTTTCCTTTTCTTGCGTGAGTGCCACCCTGTGGAATTCCAATCAATTCCTCTTTTGCTCCAAGTAGACAGAGTTGGTCTTCTGTTGCTGGCACTCGAGGAACCCTGAGTGACACATGGCTGGTGGGGGAACCCTTCTTCTAAGCAGCCAGAAAGGGAATCAAGAGACTGTTAACCAGTTTGCCTCTGCAAAGACTAAGGCACCTTGAGTGAAAAATTAATAGTCATGTTGTGGGTGGCGCAGAGAGTGAGGGCTCAGAAGGAGCTCAACACAGGGCGAGGCCCCAGCTCACGCTTTGAGAAGCTGTCTGCTTCTGTAGCTAATATGCCTCAGTGGGAAACATACCCTTTGCTGCAACTCCCAAATCATAAAATACCTGTCACACATTTATCAAAATGCATTCTTATTTTGGGGTCCAGCCCTTTCTGCCCATACCCTCAAATGATGCCCTGCACCCCTTTATCCCACACCTGGAGAAAGGACACAAGGGTGCTGTCCCCACAGGGTCGTTAAGAAGGGTCTGAATACAAATTAGAAGGTAGGAGAAGGTGGAACAAAGACCAATTTTTTTCTGCCAAATCGTTTTTATTTTCTCCTACCTGGTTTCATTGAAACAAAAACAAACAAGGCAAACAAACAGAAAGTGACAGTAAACATTTTTTAAATGACCTCCTGGGAGGAATGGCTTTGCAGTGACCTACTACTGAGTCCTTTCCTCCTTCCCTTCCTACCCCTTCTTCAGAAGGAGCCTGGAGCCAGCAGTCAGCAAACTTACTCTATAAAGGGCTAGAGAGTAAATATTTTTGGTTTGTGGGCCGTGACACGGTCTCTCTTCACTGCTATTTACAGCAGTGTCAAAGCAGCCAAAGACAATACATAAATGGGGATGTGGATGTGTTCCAATAAAACTTTATTTACAAATATAGGCTGCAGGCCAAATTTGGCCCACTAGCTATAGTTCGCCAGCCCCCGTGTGTTGTCTGTTCGAAGGCAAGACTAAATCACAGGGTGTATTACCTGTCATGGCATGAGGGATGCTGGTGACCAGGATCTTCTGGTTCTGCATTCGAACCCCTGTCTCTGGGTTCTGCATGTCCTTCACTAATGCTTCAATCTGCAAGGCAGAAGCAAAACATCTGGCTGAGCAGAACCGTTTCAGAGGCTGAGTTGGGCTTTTTCTGAAGCACTGAGGGGTCAAGGGACACAAAGATGAACACACGGAGCAGAGCGTACCGCCTGGGTGGCACTGAGTAACTAACAGTGTGCTCCAGGCACGTGTGCCCTCACTGTGTGAGATGCATTCTGACCTGGACATTCTGCAGAGGCTCTCAGGAGGAGATGGGACTCGATGAAAAAGGGTTTTCCTGGACAGAAAGAGAGAGGATGAGCGAAGGCATGGGAGGATGACTGCCTGGGGGTGTGGGAGACGACGCTGGAGGGACAGGTGGAGGCCAGGTCACACTGGACCTCGAGTGCCACTCCCAGAGTGTGGATTTTGTCCCGGCAGCTGTTTCTGAGGAGGAGTAGCTTGAGCTGGCCTGCGTTTTGGAAATGTGGTCTATGACAGAGGGAACACATTGAAGTCTGAAGACGGTGCCACAGTAGAGAACAGTGGGAGATTTATTCAAAGCTATTGCTATAGTCTGGGCATGAAATGATGGGGCTTCACTGTGACACATCAACCCCTCAGTCTGTTCCCAACCAAGCAGTCAGAGTGAGTCTTTTCATTATTTTAGGATAGGTCACCTCTGCTCAAAACCCTGCAAGGGCCCTTCCACTCAGAGCCAATGGCCAAGCTTCCCTCTCTGGAGGTCAGGGCAGCTGCGCACAGCTGGACCTGTCCCCCAGGGAGGGTGGCACCTGAAAACCAACCTGTCCGCTCCCCACACTAAAAGAGCTCGCTCACTGGTCTACCTGCTTCCCCTCAATTTAACTACCTTGGTTACATCACCATTACCGTCCTGCTGTTTAATAAAATAGCACTCCCTAATGCTAACTAGTACAGCCCGTTACAGTTTACAAAGTCCCTTTACAGTTGGCATGTGCTTGTAGTCCAAAGAAAAGGAACCCAAGGTTCTCCCAGCCTCAGGAGGATTTCCTTTGTCTCCTAACTGTAGGATTTCCTCTCTCAATTTCCTTCCTCTGGCATAAAAAGGGGACACTGATAGTACGTATCTAACTATTTGATATGGTTTTGTCATCTCTTGGAATCTGACTGTGTGGAAATGCTTTATAAGGCAAGATATATGTTATACATGCATAAAGACATAGATAGATAGAGACCTATAAACATAAAGATAGATGCTTTATAAGGAGACATGTTAGCGGTTGTTGACAGAATCACTATTCGTAGCATTTGTACAATTAATGCATCTTTGAAACCTCGCATGCGGGGCTGTGTTTAGAAGCCTGGGAGTAAAAACCTAGCTCTACTCATCAATTAAATATATTTATTGATTAAGCACATATTTATTGAGCATGTACTACATGCCCAGTACTGTGGGGGATACAACGAGGTAAAAGAGATACTCCCAGTCCTCAGAGAGCTGGGAAGGCATTTGTAGAAAAGAGCAATTTAACTCAGATAAACACTAGGCATCTGGGTGCATAGAATGAACACTCCATTCAAACCCCTGCTCCAGTGTAGTCGCTCTATAAATTGCTAAATCTCACTGAGGCTCACTTCTCCGTAAAATGGAGACTGCAAGTACCTCGTCATCAGAGAAATGTTGTGAAGATTAAATGCGATCGATCATTTAAAGCACTTATCACCGAGCTATGCACAAAGTACTTATTAGATGGCAATGGCAGGCTGAATTTTGCACCAAAAAATAGGGAAAATATTGTAATAAGAGCCAGGAAGATGCAGATGGCTGAGATGATCACGAAACAGCGTGCAGAGAGGGGGAGCAGGACTTCCCTACACAGTGAGGAAGGGGCTGCACTCCCGGGAGGGACGGCGCGAGAAGGCCCCAGCTTCCCTACGCAGCACGTGAGGACATTAAAATAGGAACCTCTGTCGCACATTGTTGCTGGGAATGCAAAAGGAAAACCTTATAGCGGTTCCTCCAAAAATTACACAGAATTACCATACCATCCAGCGATCCCACCTCTGGGTATTCATGGAAAAGAATTGAAATCAGGATCTCAAAGGGATACGTACGAGCACCCCCACGCTCACAGTAGCCAAGATGTGGAAACAACCAGAATGTCCACTGATGGGGCACAGAGAACAGCAACGTGGCACATGCACACAGAGGAATGTTATTCAGCCTTTAAGAAAAAGAAAGACTGCGATATGCGATAACGTGAGTGGGCCTGGGGGACATTTTGCTAAGTGACACATGCCAGTCACAGAAGGACTACCTGATTCCACGTATGTGAGGTGTCTAACAGGCAAAATAGAATCACAGAGCGGAGTGGTGGCTTCCGGCAGCTGGAGGAAGGGGAAGGGGAGTAGCTTATAAAAGGGCATAAAGTTTCAGTTAAGCAAGATGGGTAGATTGTAGGGATCTATAGATAACAATATTGTTTGTACACTTAAAATTTCCATAGTAAGTGTTCCTACCACAATAAAATAAAATGTAAAAATAGAGCACTAGAGCTTGGCCCAGCTGCACCGGAGGGGGCAGAATCATGCTGAGGAGCCCTGAACTGGACAACTTAGACCTGCCTCTCAGCTGGCCAGCTCCTGAAGCTGGAAGGCTCCCACCTCCCCAAGGAGGAAGGAGTGTGGGACAATGTCTGGAGTCAGTGCTGAGGGCTGAGATTCCTCTTTCAATCTGTTGCTAAACCAGTATTTGCAGCTGAACCACAATCTCAAGAAACAACCACGATCAGGGGCCAGGTCAAGGTTGCTCTGGGCCCCATGCCAGCAGCTCAGCCAGCGAGCGAGATTGACGGGGGCCCAGGTGGTGCCTGGGGCTCCTCGTGCAGGACCCACTGCAGCCTGGCTTCATCTGCACGGACACTTTCTCGGCTCACGGACTTGTTCTGGAACGGAAACTTCATTTCCACTCCACGCAGAGCTGCAGTCCTTGGTCTTTGCAAAGTTAAGGCCTGGCAATGTCTCAGGCCACTGGATCAGCACAGTGGCCCACAGCAGCGAGGAGAATAGAGAGGGTGGGGGCGCGGTGGGAGGTGGCCCCACTCCTCCTGGACATGGCCAGGTCACTGAGGAGCCACGGGCTGTGGGAGTTACTCCAGAGTTCTCAACTAACCATGAGCCTTGGATTTAGATGCTGCTTCAAGAAGCACCTGGCACCCTGGCTGGTTTGGCTCAGTGGTTAGAGTGTCAGCCTGCGGACCGAAGGGCCCCAGGTTCAATTCCAACCAAGGGCACGCACCGGGGCTGCAGGCTCCATCCCCGGCCCTTGTCAGGATGCGTGTGGGAGGCAGCCAATCGATGTGTCTCTCACATCAATGTTTCTCTCTCTCTCTCCCTCCCACTCTCTCGAAAAAGCAATGGAAAAAAATATCCTCGGGTAAGGGGTGCCTGATTTTCAGATGTGAGGACCTGCCAATGGAAACCCACATTTATTTTAAAGTAATTTTTAGATTTAACAGCATCATTTTGAGGAAACAGAGGACCTGGATGTTGGAGAAGAAATAGAAACTCACTTTATGAGGTAGAAACCGAGTTTCCCTGAGAGAAAGTCAGGGGAGTTGATCACTTTTCTTCACATTAAAAAAAAAAAAAAAAAATCTCGTTATAAAGAGTTTGAAAATAACCTTCAGAGGAGGAATAATGAGAGTTATTTTTAAAAGACAATGAGGGGAGTCAGATTTCGTTGTAGCAGGTGTATCACCCTTTCCAGAAAGGGGGGGACATCACAGGGACCCGAGAACATCGTGAGGGAGTTGGGCCCATTAGGATGCCAATCAGTGTTCCTCAGGGCCCTCCTTGTGTAAATTCCTTAGAGGGGTCACTCCAGTCACCTGACGAGAAAACGAGGAAACTCTGGCTGGTGGTAGCACCGTCTCTGAGAAACTGTTAGGGGCCGAATTGTGTCCCCTCCAAACTCATATGTTCAAGTCCTAACCCCCAGGGCCTCAGACTGTGACCGTTTGGAGATGGGGTCTTTAAAGAGGTAATGATGTTAAAATGAAGCCATTAGCATGGCTCCTAATCCAATATGACTAGTGTTCTTTTTTTTTGTTCTTTTTTTTTTGGTAAGTGGTGTCCTTTTAAGAAGAGGAAATTAGGCCCTGGCCAGCGTGGCTCAGTGGTTAGAGCACCAGCCCACCCACCAAAGTGTCGCTGGTTCAATTCCCAGTCCATGGCACATACCTCAGTTGCATTGCCCGGCCCTGTCAGGGCACCTGGAGGCAACCAATCGATGTGTCTCTCTCACATCGATGTTTCTCCCTCTCTCTTTCTCTCCCCCTCCCTTCTTCCCTCCCTTCTACTCTCTAAAAATCAATGGAAAAATAGTATCCTTGGGTGAAGATTAACAACAACAAAAAACACAAAAGAAGAGGAAATTAGGACACAGACATGCACAGAGGGAAGACCACATGAGGACACAGGGAGAAAGCAGCCCTCTGCAAGCCAAGGAGAGAGGCCACACACGAGACCAACCCTGCCAACACCACCATCTCGGGCTTTCCAGACTCCAGAGCTGTGAGCAAATAAATTCCTATTGTTTAGGCCACCCAGCCTGTGGCGGTTTGTCATGGCAGCCCAAGCAAACGGATGTTTGATCTATTTTCTACATTCTGCCTCCATCAGATAACCCCCTTGCCCATCGCAGACAGGAGAGAGTCTGATTGTTTCCCAAGTTCTCCAGGGAGCGAGAAGCCTGTTCCTTTCTGCTCTAAACTGTGCCAGCTTCTATCCAGTGGGCATCCTTCTGGGGATTAAGGAGAGCATGGCCATCCCCACCCCAAATGTCAGTGCCCACTCCTAATCGAACTCAGCTCCCCGGCACCTCCAAGGAGCCGGATCTCCTTCCCAGGCAGCAAAGAAATGTCAAGAACCAGGCTGTGCTGGACCCCACCTGACACCATGTTGGGGGCAGGGGTGGCGGGGTGTCAGCCCCACATTTCTTCTCTCAGATGCCACCGTGCTGTGGTGTGACTGCAGGCGTGACAGGGAACCCCCACATCACGAAGGAGCAGAAACGGTGGCTTTGATGGCCCCGCATCCCACCCTCCACGCCCACGCCCGCTGCTCGCATCAAGGAGCTGTCACTCATGGTGCAAGATCTGTGGGGCTGGAATTTTCCTTTAAGCCAGAGAAGGCTCCCAGGGGAACCACAGCAATCTGTACTTTTCTGTACAAAGATGGGGAAAGCAACCCAGAACCATGGGTTGTTTTGCTAGCGAAGCAGAAGGGGCTCCTGCTGATACGTCTGACCACACGGGGGAGGGCTGACCTCCCGGCCATCTGACCCCATCGTCTCAGACCCTCACACGTAAGTCAGTTGGTTAGAGCATCGTCCCGATAAGCCAAGGTTGCAGGTTTGATCCCTGGTCAGGACACACACAGAATTAACCAGTGAGTGCATCAATAAATGGGACAACAAATCAATCTCAATCTCTCTCTCTCCCCCCCCTTCCTCTCTCTCTCTAAAAACAAAAAACAAAAAAAAACAAAAAACACACAATTGAAAAAACCAATTCTCAGGCTCCACCCCACTTAATTAATTGCCTCCTAGGTAAATCTGAAACTCTAAGAATGGGAACTTGATAGCAATATTTCTCAAAGTGCAGCCGGGGTAGAGAAGAACTCATACCTTCTAGTCACAATCATCTTTCTAACTTATAAACCAGCTCATTTATTCGCCTCTGATTTTACAACATGAAACATCTTCTCATTGAACACAGAGAGCATCGAACTCCTCAGCACAGGAGGCCCCGCTCTGGGCTCTCCCTCCCTCCCAGCCTCCCCCTCATCTCACCCTCCTGCCCACTCCGGGCCACCCCAGCCCCTGGTGAGCCTGCTGAACCACCCTGTTATTTCACACGTCCGTGTTTAATAATGACACTGTCTTATGGAAAAAGTGAGATAACTCGTATAAGGCCCCCTTGGGGAATACATCAGACTTCATAAATATCCGTTGACTGTTTCATTGACTATTTATTGAGCGGTGAATGACAGTTGCACCCAGGTCCACGTTCCTTTGGTCTGGGTCCTTCTGCAGAAGGCTGGGCATCTGTCTAGTTCAGCAGGTTCATCGTTCCCGGTCCCCCGGCACTGGCTCTTGGGACCGGCTCTGCACACCTTGCTTCTGTCCTACCTCCTGCTCTAGGGAGCTGTGTGACCCGTCAAGGACCTCGGTAATGAGGTCTCTCCCCTCGAGCCCTCAAGGCAAAGGGGAAGGAACCCGTCTTCACAGAGGAGGGGACACTGAACTGGGCCTGGGGAAGGGGAGAGGGAGTTTGGCAGGTCAGAGGGGAGACAGGCTTTCCAGTGGAGGAAGCTGAGGCACCAAAGGGCCAGGGCTTCGAGGAAGGTGGGCAGGTTGAGGCGAGAGCCCCACCGAGTGCTTGTGGCTGCTTTGCTTTGTTTCCCTGGCGGGCAGTGTGGAAGGCGGGTGGCAGGTAAGGCCAGAGAGCAGGATCCTGAGTGTCCTGGCTGAGCAGTTGGGACTTTTTATCCTGTGAACATGGGAAGCCAGAGGAGGGTTTCAGGTTGAGGAAATGGGCGTTGGTTTGTGAAAGAAAACTGATGTGTTTCTGAAGGCTGTTGTGGGGGAGGGGAGGCGAGGGTAGAGGAGGGGGAGGCTGGGGACTGGAACTCCAGTGAGAAGGCGGAGGTAGAGAGAGGAATCTTCTAGATAACAGCCACGATGGACAGAAGGTCTGAGGTTCAGAAAACAAACAGTGTCTCCAGACCATTCCTCCCTGAGCCTCCAGCCTGCCCTGTCTGGGAGGAAGGAGAAGGCGTCAGGGAAATCCTGGAAGATGACAGACGGCCTTCAGATACCGGGTTTGGGGGTTCCCTCTGCTGTTAGGAACTGGGGTCTGTCCTATCGGCTCTCGGGTCCTTTCTGACAACGGTCCACCTCTGTTCTGTGGATGAGCCTCACACCTCAGCTACCTGGATATGAGCACAAGTTTCTCAAAGTGAGCAGAACAAGCGTGGCCAACCATTCCGTGTGTCCACACTGTCCAGGTTTCAGCCCTGAACGTCCCGGGCAAATCAGGACAGCGGGCACTGGCTACACCCGTGTGCTGAGCTCTGGGGGCTCAGGGCACGGCTCTGCTTGTCGCAAAGCATTCAGCTAATTCCACTTGAGAAGATAAGCCTAAGATGGTGGGCACGGCGCCGTGAAAAGTAACCGTGGATGGAAGGGAGGGTGGAAAAGTGACCTAGGACTGAATCCTCCAATGACCTCTCCAGACACTGGTGATGTTAAGAGTTCAGGACAAAATGAGCCACTTTGTTCCCAAACACAAGACTCGTTTTACCTCCCCCACGACCACAGGACACCCTGTGCCAGGCCCCTGGGTCTGAGAAAGTCCTTCTGATGGAAGAGAAGTGGTTCTGACATCTGCTGCCAGCACAGAGACCTGACATAAGCAGGTACACGTCCTCGAATGAGTGATCCGGGGGTGCTGGGAGTGGGGTGCCCCTTTATCCTAGAAATCATATCATTTTCATGATTGATGTGTGCACAGTCAGTGCACGCATGCACACACACACACACACACATTAAAATACTGCAGTTTGGGATCCGGAAAAATAACAAAAAATGTTAATTAAACATCTAGGTGCCTTATAATAATGTCAGGAGACAGCCTCCCATCTGACAGCCTCGCTGAACCGCCTCGGGCACCCTCCTCTCCCGAGTAACAGGTTGTTCCGAGCCTCCAGCAGGCCGTCGCCCTGGCTTCGTTCTCCGCTATAGACAGGGTGCACGGAAACCTAATTATTACCGTCTTGAAAAAACACACACGCTGCAAATAAGTCCTTTAATAGCAGCAGCAGCAGCCTTAATGGGCCACCAGGGACGCCTCCGCTCCTGCCCACACGCTCCGAGCCTCCAGCATCTCCGCGGACACTTCCCGGAGTTGGGTCCCCGCGCACCTGCGGGGCCCAGGTGACCCGACCCGCTTACCTTCTGCAGAAATGCCATCCTGGGCCTGTAGTGCTGGCCTTGGTGTCGGATTGTCATCCTGGACCCTGGGCGAATTCAGAGCCAGGACGCACAGGGGAGAGAAAAAGAGATGCCCGCGAGCGAAAGAGCCAGCCTGCCTCGCACACGCCCCGAAGTCCAAAGCGAGGTGGGGGGTGGACCCGGAGGGCGCGGGGCGCGGGCGCCTGCTGCCTGCGGGGCCCCTCGACTCGCGCTGGGCTCACGCCCCTGGGAAAGCAGCTGGAATCCGCGCCAGCCAATCAGCGAGCCGCGCCGCGGGGCTTATTAGCATACGCTGCGCTTGCGCGCAGCTGCCGCCAGGGAGCGGCGCGTGGCTCCGCGGGAGCCCGCAGAGCCTCAGGTGAGACCTGCGATAACGGGGCCCCGACGGGGAGGCTGTGTCGCAGAGATCCAGCCTGTAAACTCTCTGCGACAGAGCCTCCCACGGGCTGGGACCGAGTTAGGTACAGAAGGGAGACAGGCACCCTTACTGATAAGCGCGGTGGCAAACAGTTCCTCTCCCAGCTCTGCCACTTGCCAGCTGGGCAGCCTTGGCAAGTTCCTTAAAGTCTCTAGGTCTCAGTTTCTTTATCTGAAAAAGTAAAAAAGGCGAGATAATTGTATCCAACGGAAGGACGGCTGTGTCATTGAATGGGGAAATGTGTCATACAGGGCTTGGCTCTCAACAGATGTTTGGAGATGTTTAGGGGGGAAGTGGTAAGGGGCACTGGCGATGCTGGTTAACAAAAGACGTGGAAAAGAGAGAAAAGTCGTTTGCAGCCGCCTGGTCAGCTAAGCAAGTTCTATTTCACTTCCCCGGGCCTCAGTGTTTTCATATCTAGAAAATGAATGGGTGACCCTCCTAAGTAATCATGGGAACCCTTCATGTTTTGTAATATAAGGCGCCTTTTCTATGTATACAAGTTGGGTGGCTACTGAGTGTAGCAGATAAAATGTTTTGGTGGAAAGAGAACAGGGAGGGATTTGCCTCAGGAGGGTGCGGTCGGCCCACATCCCTTTAAAGCAGCCGTTTTTATCTATATTCTTGTAAGAATCTGATGAGAGCTATGAACACCCTCTCAGGAAACACGGCTGTGTGTGCTCACACAGCACTCACTCAGGTTTGCAAACCTTTTTAAGGAGTTCATGGCTGGTCTCCTTTGGAGCTTTCCATGGATTCCTGATTCAGAGCTGGATCCCCTGCCCCACAGAGGTTCCCAGACCCTACAGGGGACCATCACTGAGCAGTGTGTGTTCCTGGTGTGAGCTGAGACCCCAGGAAAGTGCTAGAATATCCTGACTTTCTTCGTGGAGCATATTTGGGGCCTGGTGTTATGTAGAACACACACTGGGATGTGTTGGAACAGATGAACTATGAGGTTCCTTCCAACTTTAATATTCCTTAATCCTATAAACCCTAAGCAGAGAGGAGACAACTGGCTTTTCTTAGACCAAGAATAAGAAAACTAAGATTATTCAGGAGCCAAGAGGGCAAAAATACAAGGGACTTTCTTCTGTAGTAGGATAGGAGAGGCCTCAGAAGGCCTGCTACTCTTTCCTCGCTCAAGTCCTGCTCTCCAAGCAACCCCATTCTGTGAAACCCACCCCTTAGCTTGCTGGACCAGAGATGCTGGATGTGTAACCCAATGGCCAGTCCCCACCTCGTAATGTGGCCATGATGTGGATCTGAAAAGCTTAGATGAGCTCGTTAGATTATTACCTTCATGAATGTGAACTTGAACCAAACAGGTAAAGTCAGGGGCAGAGGAAGCAGAAATGAAAGGTGAGCGGAAGCCAATGGGGAAAGAAGCAAACAAGCCAAGCAGGCCGAGGGCAGCGGACGGGCTGTGAGGCCAACAGAGAGGTCCCGAGGGCACCCCTGGCTCTGTGCCATTCCAAGGGCACATGCCTCTTTACAAACCCTCCCCCATGTTTTGAGTCTTTGTTTCCTGTAACCAAAAGGGTCAAGCATGTAGTGTGATGTTAGAAGTTAATGACTGTGTCCTGAAAAATAGAATTTATTTAATTCACCTGTTTATTTAAGCAACTAACATATCTCATGTCAGGCACTGTGCTGGAGTCAGGAATTCAAAGCAGAATACCAGCCAATTTCTGTCTCAGGGAGCTCACAGGTTAATGGGGAGAATACTTTAACAAAAATGTTAAAAAACAGAATCTATTTATAATGGTGATCCAGTCAATGCAATACTGGACTTTGTAGCAGGGCACCTTATCCAGCCAGGGGTGGGAAGAGAAGATCAGGAAGACTTCCTGGAGGAGGAGTCCTAAAGGAAGCTGGGGAGTTACCAGGTGAAAAGGTCTAAATGCAGGTACATCAGAGAAGAGCACAGGAATGGCCATGGAGGCAAGAATCAGTTTGCTTTGAGAGTAGTGGCAAGGACACAGCATCCCGTGAGGTTGGGGAGATGGAGGTGACAGGGATCAGACAGTGGTTGGCTTTGGTAGGGATGGAGGCGTGTGGAGAGTTTGGGTCAGGAATTAAATGGAACTGTCTGAAGAGACAAACATTCTATATCTTGATAGGAGTGGTGGTTAAAGAGGTAAGTTTATCAAAACTCATCCAACTGTATTCTTAAAACTAGAGCATAACATTGCATGTAAACTACACCTCAATGAAAGGATCAACCCAAAAAGCAAATATTATATTGCAATATGGCAGAGGGATAGAGTACTAAAATGAAATACTCCTGTGACTCAGTCAGGTAAGTAGACACTCCATCATCATCACCATTGTCACTCCAGTCATCCGTGTCCTCAGCAGCAGAGGGGTGTGACTCAGGGCCTAAATTGGCGTCACGCTGCCCTGGACACTATACAAAGTGATAAACATGGACCTTGTCCCCTGTAGGATTAATGTCATCCAGGCACAATTATGTGGTCATCCACACAGCAGTGCCCTTTAAAACCCAGGCCTAAAGTGACCTCAGAAGGAAAATGTCTTAACATCCCCCGGTCAACTCAGCAATTTAGTTCAGTTCACTGTATTGGGTTTCCGAATAGATAAAGCCTAAAAAGACACCAAGGGGATAAATACCCCCTTTCTCTCTCCTCCTCTGTTCAGTCCTGACGGTAAGCCAGAGGGCAATGGAGCCTGGGTGATGCAGGCTGTTCGGGTCAGCCTTCTGGGACACAGAGCAGAGCAGAGAAGGGCAAGGATTGGAGTGGGAGGGGCTCAGGGAGGCAAACCGTGCAGAAGCAGCACAGTGGGTTAAACGTCTCTGAGAGTGTGGATGCCCAGAGGAGAGTTCTCAGAGTCGATCCTGTGTCTGTCCCCAAGCACTTACCGCAGCTCAATACAGTGCCTCCTGCCCCTGGAGAGACGTCTCCCAGACTTGGACAGAGGCGCTCTTCTGTTTCCCTGAGCCATTGCCTGTACTCTACCCTGTTTGCATTTCATTCATTTGTGCATTACATTTGCAATTCTAAGGAGAAATCATACAGAGGAAAAATAACACCTTAGATGCGTGCATGTTTCTTTCTAGCTCCTACTAGAAAGGCAAGAAGAGCCCAGGAAAACATATTCTGGTAGGAAAACCAGAGGCCCTGTTTGCTACCCAGCGAGCATACAGGGCCTGCTGGGCAGAGTCCCTCTGTGCACCCGCTGGTCAGCTACCAACCATAAACTGCTTATGTTTAAAAAGTTTTCATTTCAGACCATCTTTTGTTGTTATTTTAGTTCTCTGAGTTTGCAAGGCCACCATGCAGGCCTTCCCTGAGCTTGTCAGGTTTGGCATGTGGCCTGACAAGGTATAAAGGTAAATAAGACCTGGTCCTGCCTTTAGGGGTGTTTGCAGCTGGCCTCAGCCTATTAATAGCAAATGTTGTGGCTCAACAAGCCCTTGTGGTTCTTATTATGATTACAAGATGCCCTTCAGCAATAACCATCAGGAAACTGAAAAGATATAGGTTTATTATTTACAGGCCCTGAAAATTACACAGTATACCTGGGGCTACGCAGCAAGGTTTAGGAAAGGGGAGAAGGGGAGAGATAGAGAGAGGGAGAGAGAAAGACAGAGAGAACGGGCCTGGGGTTCTGTTTTTTACTGGGGTCGAGGATGGGGGGCCTCAGGTTTCCCCTGGCTCACTCTTATTGGTGAATTTATTTATTTAAATTTATTTTTATTGTTGACAGTATTACACATGTCCCCCATTCCTCCCCCCTTTGCTCCTCTCCACCCAGCCCCCGCCCCACCCCAGGCCTTCACCCTACTATTGTCTGTGTCCATGGGCTATGCATATAAGTGCTTTGGTTAATCTTTTCCCATCCTCCCACCCTACCCCCCTTTCTTTTGAGATCTGTCAGTCTGTTCCATGCATCCATGCTCTGGACCTATTTTGTCCGTCAGTTTCTTTTGTTTATTAGTGAATTTAAAACATAAGAGCCGGAATTTAAAGCACAGGAAGAGAAAACAAACAAGTAGTCCAATTGGTCAGTTCTTGAAATCAACCGGGATCTCTCAAACAAAGGAGCCTCAGTTCCGAGGGGGCCTGGCTCTTCAAGGGAGGGTCCCGTGGCTGACAAAGCATCTATTGGGAGAGCTGTCTTTGAAGCGGATGCCTTAGTAATCAAAGCTTAAGTCGAGCCATTACATTACAAAAAGGAGAAAAAATTGGCCAGGCTTCCACTACAAGGACATTCCCAGTGGGGAAGAAAAATATAAAATATAATTCTGGGATTAATGCAGGCGATGATACTGGAGTAGGTGAAAAGCAAAAGCAAAAGTGAAGAAAGGAAAGGTGGTCAGAGCCAGCTCTGAGGTGCAGAGGTAGGAAATGATGATGGTAAGACATACATATCAGGCATTCGTATACCTGCTCCATCATTTAGTTCTCACTACAACCCTATGAGGAAGATGTCTGTTATTAATATACCCATTCAACAAATGAGTAAATTGAGACTCAGAGAGTGTAAGTAGTAAGCGGAAGTCCATGCACTTAGGAAGCAGCAGGGCCAGGATTGGGACCAGGCAGCCTGGCCTCTGACTTCATACCTTACCTCCAGGCCATGCTGGGATGTTCTGATGGGCCAGGCCCAAAGTGAATTGAGAGCTAGCTGGCTTCCTGCTGAAAAATCATAGTGCTAAAGTCAGAAAAAAAGAAAACTGGCTACCCTGGCTGGTGGGGCTCT